GTCCACGGATCTATACGTTATAACACAAAGCAATCATGTATATGTATTCAAACTCATACATCATATTATAAAGACGATATATTTACCTCCATTCATGTCAAGCTTTATTGTTGTGCTCATTTGGCTTTGAATTCTTTAATCTACTTTATTTTAGCAAAACTAAGCTTGATTGATGAGAATGATATACTTTGCTTGCTATACTTAAAATTCCAAAATTATAGGCTCATTCATGCTCATTTCAAGTTCTCCTAGTATAGACTTAAAAAATATTCTTGACAAAGAAATGTTCATTAATAGCATCAAGAATATCAATTGATAAAAATTATACTAATTGTTAGAAAATTAATTCCATATTCTAAGTCATTATAGGTAAAAAAAATTTTTGCTCATTAAGCACAAGTTGCCAATTTGCTAGTAGATCATTCAATATTAACTTAAGCTATAGACCATTCATCATAATACACATCATATAGCACAATGGTGGCACTAAAGCAAAAGTTCTTAAGTAATGTGCAAAATATCAATCTTTCTAGATCATTTATAAACACAAAGATAACATATTTAATAATCATGTATATTCAAGAAATCACCAAAGAATATGTCAAAATAAATTTTAGGCCATATGAAAACAAAAAATTTAATGAAGACATTTATTATCAAAAACATATTCAAAAAAATTTTAATACAAAAATATAAATATGTCTACATAAATTATATGCCATAATTAATAATGACTTAAGTTAAAAATAAGCACCATAAGAAAATCATTTACTTAAGTCATGTTGCAACCATGTCAAGTCAAGAAAAGTCATATTTATCATATATGCACACACTTAGACAAGAATAATAGATGAACTAACAACACATATCATTAAACACAATTAGTTCATCAATACTTAATCCAAAACCAAAAGATAAGTCAATTAAGCACAAATTCTAAAATATTTCACAAAATTAATGAATCAATTTAGCACAAGCGGAAGTATGTTTAAAAATATTTTAAAAATAAAAAGATAAAAAATTTAAGTATCTTCAAATCATAAGCATTAAGGTCAAGTTGAATAAATGATCATATGAGCACATATCTTAACCAAAAACATATATAAACAATGAATCAATATATATCACTTAAGTACAAGATGTTCATTAATTTATAAATCAAGAGTTATAACAATTTAGAATGTAATAAGCAAGTTTAAAAAATATTTCACAAGATCTAAGTATTATAAACAAGTTAAGCAATTTTAAACAACATGGTCATATATACATTTTTAACAATCACAAATCAATATATATCATATAAAGTGCATAAAGAAAAATATGAAACATATTCATCGAGCTAAAACCATTCAAACAAATATATTTATGCAAAAACACAATAAGATAATCCATTCAAAACTTAATATGTCTAGGATTTTTATTTTTGTACTTTAAAACTCATTTTTGCTTGAAAAATACCTTAAGAAATCTCAAAACTAGTCAAGTTCATTTTTAATCAACTTGAACCATTCCAACAAATTTCAAATATAAACAAAGTTGTCAAGTGGTGATTAGGCCTTAGAAATAAGAAAATCAAAAAATAAACTCTTAAACCCCATATTTTCTTGACAAAGGCTACTAAGATGGGTAAAAATTTTAAATATATATTTTAAGTTCCTTAAACCAGTTAAAAAAGTTTTCCATCACAATTTCAAATTGTTCAAATGATTTTTATGGCCAAAAAATGTTCAAAAATAAGATTTGATCATTTAAGCTTCAAAAAAGCTTTGAAACTTGCATGTAACACTATAAAAAATTAAAATCAAGGCATGTTATCAAGTTTTCTTTGTTTGAGCAAGTTTAAATCATTTAACATAAGATATTGAAATTAATTTTGCAATTAAAGACTTAATAAAACAAAATTTTATATTTTAAAGCTTGACTCTAGCAAAAATCATTTTCAAATTAAAACTTAACATTTCAAATTCATTAAGCTTTGAGTGTTCCCCCTTAGTTTATGCATAAATATAAAAACAATTTAGTATATAATTAATTACATCAAGCATATATAAAATATATCTCAAGCATTCATGTTCAATATTCAAATATGCTAAATTTATCTATCATTTAAGAACATTCACATGTAATCCCACAAATCCATTAAAGCATTCATCAATTCTCCTAAAAAATTTCTCAAGCAATTAAGCACCTACAAGGTATGATGTCATCAATATCAAACATTCATGTGCACAAGTTCTTATATATTTATCAAAAACAATTTCACCAAACATCACATGCATTTAAGAGCAAAAAATTAAATGCAAACTCAATCAAGCTCATATATATCAAATAAAATTGGCATATTCAAGATATATCAACAAAGCATATACCAATAACCATTAAGCACTAGACATTTAATCAAGAATAGGTAACCAACTTATAAATTCACTTCAAATAAAAAGTCTTAGAGGCTACTCATTTTTATTGTGTGTAGAGTTTCAATTTTTAAAATCAAATTGTAGCTTTTTCCTTTAGCACACCTATAAGAGACATTACTTATTTGATTTTTGGTATCCAAATTGCTTTGGGTCCTTCAGAATTAGTCACAATATCTCTTGTTTCTTTTAGAACCCATACTTATTTAATTCTAAATGGAACATTTCTCTTTATAGGACATGTATGTATAGTATGACCATGAAAATAACAAAAATTATATTTAATCATTTTAGCATTTAAACTCTTGTTTAAAAGCTCTTGTTTTTCATTCATCAAAACTTTAAATTTCTTTTTCAAATCAACATTTTTTTTCTAAAATTTCATTTCTATTTTGAGAAGCTTTAAAATTTCATTTTCAATATATCATTTTGTTTTTCCAAATCATTCGTTTTATTTATTAAAAATTCATTTTCAACTTTTAATTTTGAAATCATTTTCTTATGTTTCAGTTACATATTTTCAAATTCAATTACTAAATCATTGTAAAAATCTTGTAACTCATCAAAAGTATAAGAGTTTGAATCAATAAAATTAAAGGTTACCTCTAATTCGTTAATAGTCATAAGAGATGATACATGTTGGTTGAAAATTTGACTTTCATATAACTCATCCAACTTCCTCCATATCTTATCAAAGGTTGAATAATTTGAGACCAAGATGAAATTGTAATCACCTAAAGCTCCATAAAGAATGCACTTGGCCTTTACATCATCTATTATTTACTTTATATATTTAGCATATTTGCAAAGAGTACTGAGCCCTTTTTCCATCACATTTCATGTTCCAAAGTATTGGGCCATTATGAACACCTTCATCCTTATTCTATATTCACAAAACTCATATTTATCGAACATGAAAGCTTTAAGGATTTTCACATCATTTTGAAACCTAAATTGAACCATAGGATCTTTACTCAAGGTGATTAAACCTATAAAAAGATACTAAAGCTTTTATACCAATTGCTATAAACGTGCAAGAAGAAATATTTATAAACTCTCTCCTTTTTTATTATTATAAAAAAAACAGAGATCAATTCAAGGCATATGACAAAATGCATGATACCAATAATATCAAGAGTGTATTGAATGCATGTATTCAAGTATAATATACATAAAAATTTTGCATATATGTATTCAAATAGAAAAGCATAAATGTATCAATGTATCCAATTTTAGCAATTTGGCACAAAATCATTCATAATTTACTTTATGATAATTATGAGTAAAAAGATAAAAGAATGATATGCATGTTACTCATAAATCATGTTTTTAACAAATGTGCTTTAAACATAAAACATTAATTTCAATTAAGCATACAATTAAAGCACATATATTTAAGCTTATAGCAAATGTTAGGGATACCAATTGTTAAAAATATATCATCAAGAAGTGAACAATTGGTATTAAAATTACTAAAAAAAATTTTAACTTTAATGGAAACTTGTTTATAGCTTGTACATTTCATACAAAATTATGTGTTCCTTAAATTCTTTTAAGACCTCAAGTGCTATTAACTCTCCCAAAAATAATTGCTTTTAGAAAGAGGCATACCCTAACCTCATAGTACATTCAACATACACAAGCGCCTACAACGTTTAAGCACATGGAGTTTATGGACACGGTAAACCTCCGATCTACCAATAATCTCTCTTTTCAGCAACACCGCTTAGACTTTAAAATTGAAATCCATAGCAAATTAAACTATATCCAAATATTGAATTGTTGCATTTGTTTGAATAAAACTGATCTTTTGTATTATATTACAATACAAACTTTATATTGTAAATCTGTAAGCCTTTAAAAGCTTATGAAAATTCATGTCCATAAGTCTTTAAAAGTTTATAAAATCTATGGACATGAATTGTTGCATTTGTTCAATTTTAAAACTTTTAAAGACTTATGGACATGAATTTTCATAAGCTTTTAAAGGCTTACAGATTTACATATCCATAAGCCTTTAAAAGCATACAAAAATCCATTTCCGTAAGGTTTTTAAAACTTATGAAAAACCAAATTCACAATACATGATTTCACGAAAAAAACCATAAACCCAAATTCATTTGAAACAATATTTAACAAATAATCAACTATTTTTACCTTTGATAGATTAATTAGTCAAAAACTTGTGATTTAAAGATTTGATTATTGTTTTTGGGGTTCAATTTGGTTTAGGTTTGATTAGGGTCGATCGAGGAAAGGAGAAAATGAAAAAGAAATGATTAAATGGATGTAAAGAATATGGACGGAAAATGATGAAATGTTTGGATGAGATAAAATTAAATTATGGGCGTTTTTAGTATTTGGATTAGAAAGTTATTTTCTTTTTTTTTTTTTGTAAATAGAACTTTTGAAAGCACCAATTTCAGATTTTACAGCGGTCAAATTACCCAATTTCACCTTTATATTGACAAAAATATATCCTTGACTTGAGGGTAATATCGTAAAACCAAAATAGCTAGCCAAAAACCCAATAGTTAAGCAAGCCATCAGCAGCAGAGGAAGTATAAAAGGAGAGACGCACGCAAATATAAAAGTAAAAAGAAAAGAAAAATAAGGGAGAAAAATAGAAAGAGGAAGAGAAAGAGAGATAGAGAAACAGAGCTTACAGAGCCTCCATCGCTCTCTTTTCGCCGATCGGATCATCGAATCCCTTTTTCTTTTTTTTTTTTTTTGGAGAATCCCAAAGTTTTGCATTTTCGAAACCTTGAGTTTTTAGCTCTTTCTCTTTCTCGTCCTAATATTTTTATTTTATTTTTCAATCAAAATTTTGTTCTCCGTTTTGAGTGTTTTTCCCGGTCGATCAACTTGTCGACTTAGAAAAAAAAGAGGAAAGGAAAATCCAATTTTGTTTAATTAGGGTTTGATATGGCTGCAAATATTAATACGGCTAATTTCAATACCTCCGCTGCAGCGACAGCTGTTAATCACTCTCCCAGTAGCCCTAACCAATCACGTCGTGCCACGAGGGCAGTTTCTTCGCCCTGGACTCAAATCGTCCGTGGAGAATCGGAGCCGATCGCGGCTGTTCCTTTATCGCCTTCTTCCTCTTCTTCGTCGTCACCATCAAGGGCTGTGATTGAGCCACCTGCTACCAACGTGGTCGAAGAGGAAGGCGTGGAGAATGCGAGTGCTGGGCCCAATGGCAATGCCGGTAAGAGGCCGGCTTGGAACAAGCCTTCTAACGGTGCTGCCGAGATTGGGTCCGTTATGGGGGCCCACATGTGGCCTGCTTTGTCTGAGTCCGCTAGGGTTTCTTCCAAATCCTCTTCTGATTCACCCAGAGCTTCAGCGGATGGATCATCTTCTCCTGTTGTCCCTGTTTCCCAGGTTTGTTTCCAAAAAAATTAAGCCCTTTATTGATTTAATTTTATTGTTACCATTTCAAGTATTTTATTACCAACTGTTAAATAGCTAAAATAACCTGTTTAAACTGAACTAAGTTAAAATGAATTAATTTTCCAATTTGTTTTGTTATCTGTTTGGTAAGCAAGAGATTAAATGCAAAGAATCTTAATTGGGCAAAAAAAAAAATACAGGGAACCTTAAATTCTTAATCCAGTCTTAGGGTTTACTTGAATTATATTTCATTTTAAGGAATCTGAATTATAGATGTTATTTATGTATATAATGAGTATTTAGAGATCCGCTCGCCCAAAGTTATGTATGAAGTAACTTTGTTTGATTTTGGATTCTGAGGCTGCTTAGTCTTGATGGTTTTGTATGTTGCCTAAATTGTAGGGGAGTGGAAGTGCATTATTGTCATCGTCTTCACAGAAACAAGTGAACAACAGTGCAGACTCAAATTCAAATTCAACTCCAAACCATTCAATGCCTGCACGCCAGAGGTCAATGAAGCGAAATAATAATAACTCAGCATCTAATGGTGGCCTCTCCCAGCCACCACCTCAGAGTTCTATGGTTGAAGCACCTGTGAATAGCCCTTCTTCTAAGGACCATATGCAGAGAAGTGGATTTGTGTCACAGCCTCATACTGGTGGTAATGATCACCCACACCCTCGGAATTCATTCAGACATCGTAATGGTGGTTCGCATCCACGAGGAGATGGTTCTCACCATCAGAATTATGGAGGCAGGCGCAATCATGACCATGGAAATCATGATTGGAATGGTCGAAACTTTAATAGTAGGGATGGTCACATGCAGCCAAGAGTTGTTCCCAGGTTAATGAGGCATCCGCCGCCACCTCCACCACCTAATACTGCAGCATTTATTGCTCCCCCGCATGTGATCCCTTTTGCCGGTCCCATTGGATTTCCCGGTATGCTGTACTCTGTTATTATTATTATTACTTTTTTGGGGTTGGGAAGAGTGTTATTCTGAGTTTGCCCTAATATCTCTATCTCCTTTCAGAATTGCCATCTAATGTTTATTTAGTCCCAGCTCCTCCTCCAGAGTCGCTTAGAGGTGTGCCATTTGTTGCACAAATGCCCCCGGTGTTTTTCCCTGCTCCAGAGCCTCAAGACCATTTGTTGCATGCTAGTATCGTGAATCAGATTGATTATTATTTCAGGTAATACTTTGCTTGCATGTTGACTTATGTCAACTTAGTTAATCCAATGGTCATATCTTGGTAATTTAGGTCACCCTAGAAGCTAACTGCCTGTTTCTTTATTGCAGTGATGAAAATCTAGTTAGGGATATATACTTGCGGAAGAACATGGATGACCAGGGCTGGGTTCCTATTAAATTAATAGCAGGCTTCAAAAAGGTGTGTTTTTGGAGACTTTGAATCTGGTTTCATTTATTTGATTGTTATAGTTCTTGTGCTTAGAGCTTTTTCATGGTGATCTACTTTGATTCTTTAGCATCATTGTAAGTTCATAACATCTATGCCTATTGGACTAATCGTTTATTATGTAATGGCAAGTCTAAGTGATTATCATTAAAATCAAATTTATTTTAAGATTTTGGAAGAAGCAAACTAAATATATACATTAATAAGTTAGTTAAGTAATAGTGAAAAATACATATCGATTGCTTTCTGTAATCTGTTAGCATAAGATTGTGAGAGAGGAGCTTTTCCAGAAAACATTGAGGGGGAAAAGATAGATATGAGAATAAAGGCCAGCACCCTCGTTCACTATAACGCAGATGTGAAGGATTGAGATTTTACCTGTGGTTTTAATAACCCCTTGAGATGATGATACTTCACCAATGCAATTTCAAAATTTTGGAAAATGGTGAAAACGTCTGCAGAGGTTTTCATCATTCCGGTTTTATGGAATTGTTTCTAGAAATTAGATTTCGAGAAACACTTGACTGCTAGATTTTCAGGCTAATTTTCTATTTTGAAGAAAACAAATTAAAATCCCAACAAACCTAGTTTTCACTTTTGCCCTTGCTCTGGTTGAGCTAGTTCATGAATTTTCATTGTACTTTTAGCATATGCTTTCATACTTTTTTTTTTTTTTGAAGGGAGCATTCATCTGTATTAATACAATACTGCTAGAAATTTTAAGATACACTTTGTATGACTATTTGGTGATAAATGTTATTGGTAGTTGCTTTTTCTGGTTAATTTAATTCATATAGAGAGAACCTTGTCTTGATGCCAGGGGTTTTGGCCCCCCTTAGCTATTGAAAGTCCAATTGAGAACAGCATATTTTCAAGTAAGAAAAGGGTCAAATTCTACTTCCCCATGCCCCCCCCCCCCTTTTATTTTTTTTAATTTGGCCCATCTTTTGTAAACTTTATACAATAATATGTTAAACTGACCTTTTCAATTTTGTGCCTATTATTAATTGATTATCTTTAATTCTTTATTTAATTTAACATTATTATATTCTAAAAAAATGTCATTTACTTAAATTTTTTTCTCAACCAATCAAATAAATATATTGACATCAAATCATCAATTATGGGGTGTCAATTACTATTTTCTTTCTATGATGTTAATAGAAAACAATTAATTTTTCTTACATTTTTTAATCTTTGATTTTTTATGAGGGTTACATTAATAAGTAGAAATTACATTTCATATGATATTTTAACATTCAGATTAATCATGTATATATCCCCCCCCCCCCAATTGCAAAATTTCTGGCTTCGCCCCTACTTTCTGCACTTGTCTATAATCTTAAATAACCTTTTCATGTTTTATTTTGTGCTACTTATGTTTCCTATAATTGCTCTTATTGTTGGTCACTCTTTTCATATGGTACCGACTGCTCTTGTATTTAATTGCTAGATACTTTGGCTAAACCTTAGAGTGAGAATTAGTGCTAATTTCTTGCAAGTTGCTTTCTAGATATAGTTTTAAATGTTTAAGGCTTACAACCTTTTTGTTTAAGTTGCAAACATAATGTGGCATGTTGGGTATCCATCATTGACTATATGCACCAACACTGTTGAAATCACAATTTCTCATGCCATCGTTTTGTTTTTATATTTATATACACTCTCTATCCCAATTAAATTGTCACATTTGACTTTTTTGTCAAAATTTTTTAACTTTGACCTCTATTATTTTAAATATTTAATCAATTAAATTTTATAAAACATATATTTAGAAACTATTTCATTCAGAGTTTTTAAAATATATTTTTTCATATTTTTATCAATAATAAATATAAAATAATAGGAGGCCAAAGTTTAAAAATTTTGACCAAAAAAGTCAAAATGTGACTATTTAATTTGGATGGAGGGAGTATAAGATTAGCATGAAGTTGAGGCATTTCATACAGTTAATCTGTGTTTCTATACATGGATATCCCCCACCCACACACATGCAATCCCCATCCTTTAGATACTGGCAGAAGTACTCTGTCTATTTTTAGAGATATTTAATGTATAAGCAACTGCCTACATTACTTGTTACGAAGTACTGTGAATCCTGTAGTCCTTCCATTTGCTTTTGTACCAACTCATCCTACAGATGGTATAAAATTTTTGTTTTTTAATTCTTAATGAAGAGCTGGATCAAGCACAAGGGGTAATGGTCTTGTTTTTAATTTGGAATATTAATAAATGGCATATAGTTAACTTGATCATATCTTAATAACATTTCTAATTGATTGGAACATTCATGCACAAGAAATTTGATATTCTTGTTTTACTAGTTAATAACCCTGAAAATTCAATAGGTCAATAACATTTCCAATTTTTGCTTTTCTTTGTTGGATTTCTCTTGAATTTAATGCTATAGGATGATTGTATAACATTTAAACCTTTTGCCAAAGGTATGTGGTGTTAAACAACGTCAATGTAATTAACCTACTGGTTTTCCTGGTTTCCACATTCCAGGTCTGGTAGTGAGCGTCACTTTCTAGAGTTAGTCCTATAAATAGTAGTAAACTACTGTCATCCTCTGGAAGTCCTAACTTTTGGATTTTGTCCTTGTTGATTTCTAAAATTTGTATCTTTCTCCTTGGAAATATATTTTGAAGCTATACCTATCTAAGTTCAGAAGCTTGGCTGTTGGATGTGCTTGTAGTATGATTTTGCTTCTCCCAGAGCTGTTTTTTAAAGCTATCTGTGCAAAGGCAACATTTTTCTATGGCTTCTCCTTTTCAGGTTTCACTTTTGACTGATAATATTCAACTTATATTGGATGCTCTGCAGAGTTCAACAGTTGTGGAAGTGCAGGTATCTTCTAGAATGAAATCCTGGGTTGTATGTTCTTCATTGATTGATCAATAATGAAACTTTTCCCTTTACTATCTGCTTCTCTGACCCACCTCCAAGACATGCATACATGCACACATACACACACGGTGCCTCATACTGTTCATGCTTAATTGATGGTCCTGATAGAATGGAGCTCCGCATAATATGACTAGAATGGTGTGGTTTCTTTTGTTTTAATAACCTCTGCATTTACATTTTAGGGTGACAAAGTAAGGAAGCGGAGTGATTGGATGCGATGGATAATGCCACCTTCTGTTCAGTTCCCTATCATGTCTGTTCAGGATGTTACGCTGGTTGCTCGTGTTCAAAATATTTCATTGGATCAGAGAAATGGTAAGCAGAGTGGTCCAAGGAGCCAAGAAGATTCTCATGCTGATGGACTATCAGGTAGATCATCATCGGGGGACTTCAATAATCAGTCACAGCTATTCAGAAGTGAGGGAACTGTTGTCGCTGCTCAAGGTGGTGCCGCAAGTAATTCAAAATAAGCTAAATGTGTCACAACACATTTCTTTGCTAAAGTTCCTCTGGAAGATAGAGCCGAGGATGCTTTTGAGACCATGGGTGATTATCTTGCCTTTCTTGAAGAAAGTGGTTTTGCCTTGGCACGATGAAATATGATTCATCGTGCAGCAAATTAGAGAAAACATTACAAGAAAACGAAAACAAGATCTGGAAAAAGAAAAAAAAGAATTTGAACCTTTTAGACTTGAGCTAGTAGCACGAAATTATTGTGGCTGTATGTATTGGTTTTTTTTAAAAACGGGGTTTCTTTCACTATTTGTGGTGGCTTGATTGGTGTTTGAATCTGGGGAGTTTTGATTTGCTTCCCCTAGTTACCCCTCAGCTGTTTTTTTTTTTAACATGGTTTCCTCCCTTCAAGGCCTACATCATTTACCAAGAATTGCATTTTATTTATGTATCTATAGATGTCAAGGACGTGCATTTGCTGCGTAAAGTTGTCCTTAATTTGTGGGACAAACCTTTGAAAACGACAAAGTTACAACTGGATGTGTGATTTGAGTTTTGGAGCCGCTGGTACTTTTAACTCGTTATCGAAGAATATAACTACCGGTATTATTTATTAATCTTTGCTTACTGGACTTGTTATAATCTTTGTTCTTAAAATGAGAATGAGGCAGTAATTCACCTTTAGTCAAATATCCGATGTGAATGGAGTATTAGATTGAGTCCTAAGACCTGACCAGGCACAACCTTTTCCTTGCAAAGGTAAGATCTGATGGGTAAAATTCGAAAGCTGTGGTTTGATGGTGAACTGTTAGGTGTTGGTTAGAACATATGATAATGAAGGACTTAAACCATGTTCAATAAATGTTTCTGAATCAGTTGTTCTATTTCTTTTGTCAGCCGAAGGGTGGTCAATTACAAACCATCGTTTGTTAAAAACCCCACACGGAGAAAGATCATGTGGATGCATGGAGGAAGGGCAGACGTAGGCTTGAAATAGCAAGAATATTCAGCTATAGAAAGCAAAGTTTCTCCCTCTTTCAGAAATGGATAATACAGGGGGTAATAGCATTTTCTCTGAGAATATAAAACATTCTTGAAAGAAAGAAAGGTAGGGGAGGGGCGGGGAGGGAGTGCGGGAGTGTTCTCTGCTCGATTCTACTAGTAACATTCATAGAATTGCTAACACTTGTTCTCAGTTTGTAGCTACCGTGCATCTTAAAAGCTCGGGGGATTCATTTTTTAGGCAAAGGTTTACCCGATTTGTGTTGCATGGCATATATAGCAAAAACACAAGAAGAGAAGCACAAAAGGGTAGCCTGGTAGGATATATTTGGTTGGTAGAACTGGAAGTGGCTGAATGCACATGAAACAACAGCCCTTTGAAATGGAAAATGGTGGTTCCCATAGAAGGTCAATTCCTTTCGTGTGCCTACCTGCCCGAGCCCTCCCCCTGGCCCTACTACTGTTCATGGACCCACCTTCAGACCACTTGATTGTCTCGTTGTACGAGCTTCTTAGTTTGATGGGAGCATCCAACGGTTAATGTTCATTGCTCTATTACCTTCCAAAGGGTCGTGGCCTTTAAACGGACAATCACCAATTTTAAAGAATAAGAATCAGAATCTGATTGATAACGTTTTTCTGGGAACTCAAATATGGAAGGCAGACGGGTCTCGATCAAATCAGACTCCGAATAGAGTGAGAAAACTATCCTTTTAACTTTAAAAAGTACTATCATCTTTGCTTCTCTTATTCCTCCAATCCTATGTTTAAATAAACCCGTAACTTCCTTTAATCAAAATCTCCAAGCTTAACATAATTGTTTACTGCTAACTGACCACTGATCTATGGTTAGTTCCAATTTTCAACCAGCTCTACCAAGGCAGAAGTTAAAGCCCTTTGCTAACGTTTAACCTGCTTAATTTCTTATTAATCAATTAGAGGTTCTCCTGTTCTTAAGAGCGGTTCTTGCATTAGGTGAACATTAAGTGCTTGAGTGGTAGATCAAATATTGAAAATTTAATTAGTAAAGATTAAGATAAGATCGATCTATGGTGCTTATACCAGCTGAACTAATTAATTGCAGTACAAGATTTGATTGAAAACACAATTTTGTACTTCTCTTTTGTACTCCATCAGTTAGAATTGGGTGTGGTGAACTGTTCACACAGAATACAGACAAAGGGTGATACAGTGCTGGGCTCAGCAGGGAATGGTGTGGAGTGGACCCTGCAGATATGGTTTTCGCTCAGTCGTTGCAGCCGGTACAGTAGACTTCTGAAATAAGTGAAAGAGTTTGGGACAGTGCAATGCAGAGTCGACAGCTGTTCACTTAATATCCTAGTCTCGTGAGAGTTCAGGTAGTCTGTCTAATCTCTCCCCTCTTCTCTTGTCCATATGACCACCGATGCATGTCCATTGCGGACTACTTTTTGTTTCTTCTTCTAGTACTATTTCATTATGAATTTGCAAACGAAATTTACTTATTGGCATGATAATAAATAATAAGATTAAACTCGATGAGAGAGAATTTTTATTCCTAGTCAAAAATTTCTCATGCAGGTGGATATGTAGTAGGGTTAGCTGAGAAATTGTTGTCATTTCCCTTATCCATTAGCATACGTTTATAGATTATTTCTGGTGTTTATGATAAATTTATTGTTGGATTCTGCAAATGAATCTATTTCAGAAATCAGAATGTGGGTAAATACTCATAAAAGTTGAAGTCTGAGATGGACCCACAAAGTGGGCTCAGTGCAAGTCATTTTACTTTCCTTCAAGGTCTGAGCTTTGCAGATGAAGATGGGATATTTCATGTTTCTTTTTTGTTAATGAAGTTGGAAAATGAGGAAGAAAAATATAAAAAACAAAAGCCATTTGAGGGTCTTATAGCCTATGAGCCTATAAATATAAACCCTGCACTACGTTCTTTCCTTTGCATGATTTCCTTTTAAAGCTTATTAATAAAACATTTCCCATAGATAAATGAATATTATAATGAAAATGGGGAGGGCGGCATCCTGAGAACTAAAGCTCCCTTTGGATACAATCCGATCCAGTGGGGGTTGGTCGCCATCTTTTTGCGTGTTCATCTCATCTCGGTGAACATTCAAAATGGGTGTTTGTCCTGCTGCAATTGGTTGCCATGGGTCACCGGATTTTTTTGTCCAGTTGGTCACTTTGTGTTTTTGTTTTTTATTTTTTTATGTTAATCCAAAAATGTCACAAATTTTTATTTCAATTTTTAAATTAACAAATAAATTTTATTATAATGTAAAAATAATTTTTTAGAATTTTTAATTAATTATTAATTTATAAATATTAAATAATTTAAATTTTTATTATATATAAGTTTTATTTTAATTTATTATACTATCATTTTATTTTTACGTTCATATGTATATTTGATCATTAATTTTAATTTTATTATTATAATAATTAATCTCATTTTTAACGTTAAATTTAATTTGGTCAAAGCTAATTTTACCTCCTATTAATATGAACCCTAAGTAAATAAGTAACCAGTGAAGGGATCAAAAGAGAAGATGGTTTGTCCAAGAAAAGTAAGTTGAGAGTCTGAAAGGGAAGAGCCAATCGCAACATTTTACCCTATGAACAAAACAGGTGTCCAAATCTGAGAGCGTTGGAGAATCCCTTCAGAAACTGACGAGTGATCGATCAATCTTAACCTATTCTTTTATGGCGGCACGATGCTTTGGTTCATCCCTTCTCCCCACTACTCAGTCCTCAGAGCTACCCCTGAAAGATCGTACTACTAATCTTTTCTTTCTTTAATTTCTCTTGCTATCGTTATTAGTTTTGTTGATTCAATTGAGGAAAATGATAAATCCATCACATCAAAGTTCAGCTTTCCGCTTCCCTTCAAATAATTCCAACAAAACTCTCATCTTCAGTCTTCAGACTTTTGGGGAGATACTGTTACCGCGGCCGCTTTTATTATTGGTCAGAGGGCAAATACGGTATAGTATTAGTATGTTTTAACTGATCAGTAACTTTAACTTGAGGTTCAATGCCTATGAAGTTGATGGGCTTCGGATTTATACTGTTTTATGATGTTAAGATCTCAAACTTTTCTATTGGCAGTTGGCTCAATGAATCAGTGCAAGTGACAACATTTGTTCTTGTTGATCTCCTAATGTTCATAGTCACGAGTGGAAGGGAACACCGTTATTAATATTCGAACGTAATTTTCCATTGAGAAACTCAAGAAAAGAAAAGTAAAAGCATTAAAAATAAAAGAAGGAAAACAGAAAACTAGAAGAATAATTGCACTTTATTTTTGTCATGTTGCATTTCATGGACCAGACAAAAAAACTATAGTAGCAAACATCATTGTTAATTGGACTCAAATTATTCAAAAAACCAAAGTTTACGGAACACGACCAAATATAATTTTGTCATGTCCGGAATATAAACATTTTTCTGGCATTTAAAATATCTACCTGATTGATTGATTAATTAATTAAACCTTGTTAAAAATGAAGACTAGTGTAAAATTTCAATGCCAAATAATTATATGACTTTTGTTGATATTTGATAATAAGACAACCGTTAATAATCGTATGATGAATTAACAGAGTTTTAATTTTTTTTTTTTTTTAATTTAAGTGATGAGATACCAATGATGAAAGATGAGGTGCTTTGCATCGCGTCAAGCTAGCACCTAGCTTCAAACTTTTTTTTGGACAAAAACCGGAAGAAATAGAATGAAAACCAAACCACCATAATCACACAATCCTTTTGTTCGAAATGAAGATGTATGTTCATATTTTTAGTAACAAAGAAGCGAAATTTTCGAATGAATTTAGCTAACTCTGTGAACCAATGTTATCGTTATGGTACACCAAGAACTTTAATTTGATCTTTAGAAAAGATGGTTATAATGCATCAGAATAATTTACCATTCAAGGTTCCATGGCTATCTCAAAGATCCTGATGGCAATAGAAAAAAAAAATGGTAGAAAATGTAGCTACATATGAGATATGCTATTTGATTTTAGGAGGAAGCCAGAGACACAAACTCACAAAAATATGAAAAATGCTATAGTATTAAATTAAGGTGGGCAGTGCGAAGTGTAAATTCAAACGGCCGTATTTTCTTTTACATTTTCCAGGATAAATCAGCAAGAGAGAAGTTCATTCATTACAAGTTTTATTCCAATATTCTCTTTGTGGGTGTGGAAGAAGATGACGTCGTCGAAGAAAACAAAAGGATGACTAGGGGTCAGGCTGATAACGAAGGTGGAAGAAATAAAATAAAGTGAAAAGGGAATGAGATTCATAGTGGGGAAGGAGGATGATGGATCCACTAGAAAAAAGGATAGACTTGGAGAGACAGCCACTTGCTCTATATCATCCATCTATATGCTTTTAATACGTGCAATTTTGTACTATTATTAATCCCATCATCGTTGACGGTGTTTTCGGTCACCGAGTTTATTGCTGGAAGCTTGTTGGGACATTGACTAGGAAGTTGGAGTGATTAACAAGTGACAAGGGTCCGAGACGAGATTTTAAAGCGTGTTACGTTACTCAAACTAACAAGGTGTAACAAGTAAGGGAAGAAAGAAAAGGTAGAAAAAAAAAAGTGACAATGAATAAAGGGTTAAAACGAGTTATCTGTATAAAAATTTTGTTTTTTATTACTTGGCTTGTACTGGTGTGATCAATTAATTTTTATGATATTAACTAAGTGTCAGATTGGCTTAAACTAATCGTTGTCTTGACTATCAACAAATGCTAACTTGACTGATTGGATGATTAAAGCATTGATTTCACCACTAGATATAAGAATCATCATCTCATTTTTTTTTATGTTAGTACAATAACAATAATAATTTTCAGATTGACAGTATGAAAATATTTTAAAAAATCATATTAAATCAGAACTTTCATTTTTTTTTTACGTTAGTAAATGGCATAATAATTTTATCATCGTTTATAATATTGGGGCTGCTATATATAGCTATAGCATCATATTCCAATGGTAAGGTGCTTGCTATATATATAGAAACGTATATACGAAGCGATAAGGTACCATGGTGGTATGATTTATTGACATTTATTGTGCATATTAACCGAGGGTAGGTTTAAGGCCACAGAATATGGAGTACTGAGTTAAAAAGGAGCTTTAGTGCACCCCACTGCCCCCAATGTGGACCAATTTTTCAGCGAGTTGCAGCTGAGGGAAGTCACACCACACCTATTGCTATAAAGTAGTAGTTACACTATATATGTCTTCCTTGGTCCTTCCCAACAACAGAGACTCCCAACTCAAAGGCCAAAGCTGCAGAGTCATAACCAGATGAGCTCTAATAGTAGTAGCAGTGCTGGTATATCAGTTTACACTACTTGTCAACAAAGGCTTCTGTTTTTCCTCCAATGTTGTCATCGTCAGGTGGGGAGGACACCAACAACAACAAAGCAACAATAAGCTTAAATAGAGTGTCCTCAGTATCCTCAAAATCATCATCAACTTCTTCGTCTCCTTCTGCCGATCTTCACAACCAAATCCATAGATCCAAAACTATGGAAGAGGTTTGGAAAGATATTAATCTTGCTTCTCTACATGATCACACTTCCAGGGAAGGCCTCTCTGTAAACCCAAATCCTCACAACCCGCATTTTATCCTTCAGGATTTTCTCGCCAGACCTTTCAGCAAAGACCCACCAACCAATAGAGTCTCCACAATCGGGGAGGCCACACTTTATGGCTCTCCAGCTCCACCTCCTGCCACTGTTTTGAGCCTGAATTCGGGTCCGGCCTTTGATTTTCTTGATAACTCGGGTTCTCTCCGGTCTAACTCTCGTTTGCAAAGCGGCCCCATTTCGAATTTGTCCACTTTCAATTGTCCATTCGAGGGTCTAGCTTCATCTTCTAGCTTGGCTTCGTTTGGTAAGAAAAAGGTCCAAGAATCAGATAGCAGTTCTGGTGATCGACGGCACAAGCGCATGATCAAGAACCGAGAGTCTGCAGCTCGATCAAGAGCTAGGAAACAGGTAGTTAGTGCCTTTATTTTCCCGGTCATTTTCCGTAATATTGAGATAGTTTCCTAACTCCGAAAATATCTCGTTCCTGATATTCCTTTTCTAGCAGGCTTATACAAATGAGTTGGAACTTGAAGTTGCCCATCTTATGGAAGAGAATGCAAGACTCAAGAGACAGCAAGAACAGGTAACTTGGGCAAAATTAAGTTCCATTAGCAGACAGATAACCTATGAAACAGCCTAAAAAAAGAAAAAGAAAAGAGAAAGGACCCGACCCACTAATTTATGTTTCCTCGTTGGTATTAGAATACTTGTGCTCCGCTTCACCTAAATCTAATAACCCAACACTAAACTAACATGCTTGGAACTCGGAAACTGATTTGGTCTATGAAGAATTTTACTAGTATTGAGTATTGAGTATTGACATTGTACTTTGTATCTTGTTTTGGGGGCATGCAGTTACGCGTAGCTGCTGCTGCTCAACTTTCCAAAAAGCGCACGCTTCAGCGAACGTCAACGGCTCCATTTTGAGGAAAATATCTATCTGAGCCTTCCTTTTAACAAATGTGGTGTGGACGAAGAGGATTGTACCTCCAGCAAAGTGCAAAGACGGTTGATTTTGGGAAAGAAACATGGGTTGTTGTGTGGAGAGGAAAGTTGGGTTTTTTTTTTTTTTTTTTTTTTTGCATTTCCTAATATGCAGGAAGTTTGGTGGGTCTTTGTTCTGCTTCCTCGGTTCGATTGTATCTTTCCTTGGACTACTAACCTTTTTGTTCCTTTCTTAAGCTAATTTTCTCTTTCTTCAATTTCCAACTTTCCTTCTCATGCGAAAAAAAGAAAATGTTACAATTTGTTGGCTTGGAGGTGGAATCTGTAGATCTAACCAAATTTAATGCTACTAGCAAAGCAAAACTCAACAAAATTGAACGGTAAAAGAAAAGGATGTGACACACCTGCCATTAGCTTTGTGACAACACGTCAAACCGTATTCCTTATCAGGCCCTCAATCGACCGCTTTTTATCTAGCCAGTAATTGATGCTCTCTTTTGTTTGATATAACATCAATCGGCGTCTTGTATTTTTTCTTTCAGCTTTTTCTTCTTCCTGATTAAAAGGAAGCAAAAAAATGCCTCCTTTTGATCGTTTTCCCATCTCCAATAGGGAAATGGCAGCATCATCATTCATCTGTGCATGATTATTCCATTGTGAATCAATCCATTTTTCACGATACTCAAAATTACATATCTATGTTAGACTTGTTATTTGGTTATTGTTGGTTATATATTTCTCCTTTTAAAGTGCAAAGGTCACATTGGCCTTGGGGCCTTCCCCTGCATGCTAAAGTTGATACAAAATTGATTCACTGTATTTAGGTGGCCTAGGGTGATGTGAAGATGTGTTATGCTGTCTCTCCAATGTATTTTTAATTAGGTGATCCAAAATTTGGAGAGGCAAGAAATTAATATTGTACAGTAAATGTACCTCATTACATCTACTGAAAATTATTTGAGTGACAAATAAACTCTATACCAAATTATCCAAAAACTTTTTTTTTCATCGATTTAGGATTTATTTGGATAAGTGGTCAAATTAATTTCGATGAGATTGAAAATAATGATGAAAGTGAAATTGAATTAGGTAGTGATAAAATTAAAATTAAACATAAAATATGTGTTTTAATATAAAAATAACGGTGAAATAAAATGTAACAATAATAAAAAATAATTATTAAAAATATTATATTAAAATTTATATATAATAGAATTTGTAAATTATTTATTATTTATGTAGTTATCTATTTTAGTTAATTCATATTAATTATAAGGATATTTTATTTTTATTTATTTATTAATAATTTATTTCATTATAAATTTTATTATTTACTTATGTATTTATTCAATTTCTAGTTATTCATTAATTAATTATTTTATTCTATAATTATAAAAATTATTTATTATACTAAATTAAAGATTTTATTTGAAAATTATTAAATAAAAAATAGCAAGAAAAAGGTTAATCTCTATACTGTAGTTCTAAGGGTATAATAGGAAGAGGAATTGTGGTGAAGACTCAAAACTTTCGCCGGACGGGGTTGCACGCGATTGAAGTAGCTCCACCGTGCCTCAACTAGGAGATCCAAATTCCAAACGATATATCAGTGCGATTGAAACTTGCAACCACACTGTACTGGAGCTGATTGGGGATCCAAATGGACCCTCAATGCACATAATTTTGTATAGCCCCGCGAGTTATTGGACTATAATTTTAAACATGACACAAATCGATATAAAAGAATATACAAAATTAATATAATTTAATAAAAAATATTTTATATTTTATATTTGATGTATTCATATAAATTTAATGTAATAATTTTTTTATTTTATGTATATTTAATATGTATATAAACTATTACATCTTTTGTCAAGATCATAATCAGACTTAGATATTATCTCCGTTTAAGTTTCTTATGGCTTTGTTAAAATCTATTGTTAATGACAAATATAAATAGGGTAGATTTGCAAAGCCTGACCTTTTTATTATTATTATTATTATGCAAGACAAATAGTACGGTTTCATAAATTCAGTTAACTCTGGAGTTAGGAGTTGCTAACTACTACAACAACACAAAACTCTAGGCTAAGTGCCAGCTGAAATTGAGAGATGGTTTGAATTAGGTTCACAACTTGAGTAGTTTGGGGAAATGTAAATTTTTTTTTTAATTTTTTGCGTTGCTTTCTAGCTAGGAATATAGGGTTTTAATTTGAAGGACAAATGATTAAATGCAAATTTGTCAAACATTTGGTTCGCTTTGATGTTGGGGCAGTCACGTCCATTTGGTTCAAACCATTAATAATACACTCTATATATGCCTTTGTTTTTGTTTTGGTTCAAATGCTGGAATTGATTCTATATGTTTCTCTATTTTCGTCTTTATTATTCAAGATGTTCATCAGCTTTTCTTTTTCATCTTTGTTGCTGTCATATCTCAGACCTAACTTATTTTACTGCATTTATGCCTCCACTTTTGCATTTTTCTGATGCGAATAAGCTCAGAAAGAAAAGAGAAATTCATTAAGGAAATTGAAAGAATCACTGCGCCTTGCTGGCATATTAATTTCCAATAAAAAATTTTTAACATAAGATATAACTTAAAACAGCTTTAATTTTGTAAATTATACCAATAATTTTTGTGAGTATTATTTTTTTTTCAAAATTGGCTTTTTGGTTCAAATCCCTTTTAATTTAAGCTCCATTCGAAAGCTTAATGGGGCTACGACTGAAGTTCGATATCCTACTTTTAGATCAGTTTTTTAGGATTTGATTGAGTGAAAAATAAGAGATAAGGGAATTTTCTTCTTTTTAATTACTGCTTTGGGTTCTTTAAAAGAGATGGTGCAGTTTCATAAGGTCGTTTCCAATTCTCCATGGTTGAGAGAAGGATGCAAAAATCCAACCCATAAAGAATAATTAAAATACTTTTTATCTTTATATCCCACTTATTTCCAACAAGTTACCTACCTTTCACTTCTTCCTCTTTCCATAAACCTACTTTTTCTATTTCGGACAGCTTATAAATTATGCCCAAATATCATTCTATATAAAGCCACTCAATCAAGTTTCGTACAGAATATCATTCAACAAATGGGAAAATTCCAATTTTCAAAATCAACAGTTTTTTCATGAAATATTCATTTCTCTTCCCATTTTTCCAAAATACAAACTGGACCAACCTTGACCCTGGCCTTTCGGTCCAATGGATTACGGTTCATATTTGTCTTTTATACAACATCTGCATACCTTTGTCCTTTTATCATTGTTTTCTTTTTATTCCACTGATTACCGCGTTACTCTTTATATTAATTATTAACATAGAAGTTCTTAAAAATCAGTTCCGTTGTCGTCCAGCGGTTAGGATATCTGGCTTTCACCCAGGAGACCCGGGTTCGATTCCCGGCAACGGAATATCATTTTTATCAACGGTTTACAATATTACATTGAAAAAAAAAAACAAAAAAGGCTAGAAGCCAGCTACATGGAAAGATGAAAACCAGGTCAACATCTCCTCAGTGAAGGCTTCCCTTCTATGAAACCTCTCTTCTTGTCCCATAGAAAACCGGCATACTGGGCAATTCTTCCTGCATGCATTGAGCCACCTGTCAACACACACCCGATGAAACCGATGCAAACAAGGAAGAACACGCATGTCATCTCCCTCCTCCATGCTTGATAAACAAACACAACATATTTCACCTTCTGCTGAAACTTCACCAGGGCTCAATCTTGTTCGGAAGTTGCTGGCTGATCCCTCCTTGACCACATTCTTTGAGATATCTGGCTTGATCGCCACATAGCCTGCCGTTGCTGCTTCTTTTATTCTTGCATGAACTCTTACACCAATCAAGTTGCAGATGAAGGCTACCAACTTGTTGAGAACCATTTGGTTTAGCAAAGAGTTAAAGATATCCATAGCATCTTTAATAAGAGACTCGAAGAAAATTAAGTTCGTGAAAAATGACAAGCCTTCCTCTTGCTTAAGCTGTTTTGCTTGGTTTGAAAGGTTTGTTAGATTGAGGAGAACCGATTTTGAAGGATTAACACGAAGCGGTTGCACCTAAACCAGGAGTGTTACAGATGACCTATATCTTTTATTTTTGCATGGTTTCCAATAGATTAAATCCCTACATCATGAATGTACCAAAAAGAAAATTCCTTATACTGCATGAAATCCAAGTTTTACTAAATCAGTTAATTATATATTTGGACATGGACTTGGGAGAGCCAATTTTTTGTTTTGATTTGTTGTGTAAACTGTTGAAATGAATGTATAAATTTATAAATTTTGTTGAAATGAATGTATAAATTTATAAATTATATGATAATTAACTTCAGCTCATGGTCTTCCCGAAACTTTCTACACAATATTCCTTCGAAGAAAATACATGAAATCAGTTGTCTTGAGTAGTAGATATATAGCTGAAAACATGTCAATAGAAGCTAATGATAGTGTCATATCACTTGATCGAGTGAGAGGAGCAAAAAGAGCTTCTGGTAAACATGCTCATTGAAAGATCCTGAATAGTAATCAGGATGTTAGGTGAAGTATATCCATTAGGTGATGAGCAAACTATCCCATAACATCAGGAATTTTGCCGAGTTCTTGGTGAAATAATGATCATTTTAATCCTAATATGCTTAATTTACTGTTTTGTAAGAAATCTTTAAAGAAAAATTGAGTCTTGAAGTACACGTATGCTTGGAATGAAAGCAAGAGAATGATAGAAAGTAATTGACCATTGGCAGTACGAATCTATGCTGATTCCTCAGACTTGAAGAAACCAGATTAATTCTAATGTAGTTTACAAGCATAACTTTTTCAACATATGCTGCAATAAATATTGATACCCGTAAACCATATCCCAAAGTATTTCAATGCATGAATTTAACAGTGCAATTCTCAGGATTTACAGGAAGAAACAAAATAGTTTTGTATGCTCATGCCTGACACTATCGAAAACACCAATCATAATTGTGTATCTCAAAAACAATTTTCCATTCTATGTAATGAAAGTGTGGGTTTCCTAAAAAAGGCAAAATTAAGCCCAAAAAATCATTTGAGGTAAGTGATAAGATAGAGTCAGCAGTTTATGAAGAAAAATGACCAGTACAATCGAATGGGAACAGAACATTGCTAGAAGCAGGAAACAGCAAGATGAAAGGATCCCAACCTCCTTCCTAATATGTTCTAGCTGAATCCTCAGCAGTATCGTCATCTTTCATTGTATCATGATCATCAGTATCAAGTATCTTCCCATCTGTCGGCACCAAACATGGAATCCCATCCTTTATCTAACAAACCACAAACAAACATAAGATCCAAACCCTAGTACATCTTACAGCATCAGATCAGTTTTCATATATGTCAATTGTAATGGTAATTATTTTGTTTCTGATTTCTCCAATATGTTCCATATATCAGCAGACAATTCCTTTTCTAACAGTAGAATTGCTAGTCCTATGCTAATTAGAATGTTATCAAGATTAATAGCATGGCCAACAAATAATTAGATACCCAATTCCCAATGAAATTCAAGCATACAATAGAAAGAAAATGTTGAATGAAAAAGGGAAACTAGAATTTTAACTTACAGGAAAAGAGACCCCAATAGAATCACTGATAAGAGAAGCTGGTTCCTTGCAAACCCTATCCAATTAACCAACCAAAAAACAAAATTAGCAAACAGAAAGCATCATAAAGGAGAGGATAAAAACAAAGAGGTACCTTAAAGGTTGTTTGGAAAGCGGGCAAACGAGGATCTTAGAAAGAGTTTTGTTAAGTTCAGATCCTGCTTCTTTTAGAAGCCATTTGCTTAATCTCACCATTTTTTTTTTTTTTTTTTGCCTTCAATTTCTGAACCCTTTCACTTTTAGCCTCACTCTGATGATTTCTGTCGGCATTCGGCTTCAACTCCCAATTCTTATTTCTTTGGGTTTTGTTGGATCGAGGTTTGTGAAGATCTTTTTTTTTGGGCCTTGAACATGGGTTATTTTGGGGTTTTATGTACGTTTTGCTTGTCCCTGGGTTTCGGCTGGTTAGGCCCTTGGCTTTTCCTATGTCGAGTCGACTGATGGGAATCGGTCTCTAGTACAGCTAAATGATCCCTATTTGCTAACCAGAAAGCTTAAAGCAACAATTTTGAAGAAAGTCTCTCTCTCTCTCTCTCAATGCTACAAAGTAGAAACTAGAAGGCTTCTCCTTTCACCCACAATAACATGCTTCAATGGCGGTAATCAAATTGAGTTGGAGAAAGCATCAAAACAAAGTCCCAAATGAATGGCAAGGATGTCCATTCGTGAACTCCTTCGTTTCAGATACAACATCTTTGCTAACCCAACTCTCCGATTTTCCTCCCCATTTTATTCTACTTCATCTAAAACACTCACTTTTCCTCATTCAAACCTTTGGTTGCTCGATTCATGTGAAGATATAAAGCAACTCTTTCAAATGCAGGCTCACTTGATCACTTCGGGTCTCTTCCACAACCCCTTTTGGGCAGACAAAGTTTTGAAGCATTCTTCAAAGTTCAGCAACATTGATTATACTGTTTCGGTGTTTCGATGCATTGACAAGCCTGGTACTTTTTGTGTTAATACAGTGATCAAAGCTTACTCTTTTAGTTCTTTTCCACATCAAGCTTTGTTTTTTTATTTTCGGATGCTGAGTAATGGATGCTTTGTTCCAAATAGCTATACTTTTGTGCCACTTTTAGGCTCTTGTGCAAAAATAGGTTGTTTTAAATATGCCCAAAAGTGTCACGGCCAGGCAGTTAAATTTGGGGCAATTAATAAGTTGCAGGTTCAAAACTCTTTGATTCATATGTATGGTTGTTGTGGGGTTATTGATCTCGCTATGAAAGTGTTGGTTGAAATGTCTGAAAGGGATCTTGTGTCATGGAACTCTTTTATTGATGGGTGTGTAAAAGTTTGGGATTTGAGTCTAGCTCACAAGTTGTTCGATGCAATGCGCAAGAAAAATGTGATTTCTTGGAATATTATGATTAATGGCTATTTAAAAGGTGGGAATCCAGGGTGTTCATTGAAGTTGTTTAGAGAAATGGTGAAAACGGGATTTGTTGGGAATGAGAAGACTGTGGTTAGTGTGCTGAGTGCCTGTTGTAAGTCAGCTAGATTAAAGGAAGGAAGATCAGTTCATGGATTTTTAATCAAGAATGGCTTGAAATCAAATATAATAATTGATACAGCTTTGCTTAATTTCTATTGCAACTGCCAGAAAGTAGGATTAGCTCGTAGAATGTTTGATAAGATCAAAAATAGGAATCTTGTTTGCTGGAATGCAATGATTTTGGGGCACTGCATTCATGGGAACCCAGAAGATGGACTAAAATTATTCATGGATATGATGGATCAAAACAAGATTAGAGAAGGGGACATTTCTCCTGATGAAATTACTTTTGTTGGTGTTCTGTGTGCTTGTGCTCGTGCGGGATTGATAGCAGAGGGCAGAAATTATTTCAGCCAAATGATCAATAAATTTGGTATAAAGCCGAACTTTGCTCATTTTTGGTGCATGGCTAATCTTTATGTTAGTGTCAGACTTTTTAAAGAGGCGGAGGAGATCCTAAGGCAAATGCCATTTGGTGATGATGATGTATCATCTGATTCTCTGCTCTGGGCAAACTTGCTCAGCTCATGTCGTTTTAGAGATGGTGTGACTGTTGGGGAAAGAATTGCAACATCTTTAATTGCAAAAGAGCCTAAAAACTTCTCATATTATCAGTTATTGTTGAATGTCTATGCTGTGGCAGGGCAGTGGGAGGATGTTGCCAGAGTAAGACAGATAATGAAGGATAGGGGGATAGAAAGAGTTCCTGGGTGTAATCTTGTAGATTTAAAAGAAATCGTTCACAATTTTAAAGTGGGAGAACGATGGTGGGAGAGTGTCGAGCAACGGGATGCTAAGCTTGCTGAACTGGCTCAGAGATCAAGCTAGTTCAATGTTTTGCTAGAGATTTTGTTATTATTATTATTATTTTTAACAATAGATTCAGTTGAAATATTTGACTTGCCATTGATACCAAACTCTAATCCATCTTGTACGTTTAGCATTTCTCTCGGTTTCTTCAACGACTTCTCTACATGTACCAGACTATGGTGGAAGAGGGAAATTATGGAAGAAAAACAATCTAACCTGACCCCTAACCATTATGAATGCAAAAAAAGATCGTTGCCTCACCTAATAAGAAGACCGGAATTGTTTCATGGATATGAGCATTTGTTTGCCATGAGGATGCCAATGGTGTTTTCTTAGGTTAATGTTTATTTTTTCCATTTTTGTTCATATATACAAAATCTTAAACCTTAAGGATGAGTTATTGATGTGGCAAATGGAATTTAGACGATCATTCCCATTCACATCAAAAACCACGATAAAGGAACAGATAACAAGGGTAATAAGTTGATAACGACACACTGGTTAAATTGTATGAACAGGCAGGCTCACTTGAAGTGTTAAAAGGGCTCACAAAATCCAAAAGAGTACTGATGAAGACAAAGAAAGATGATAGGTCAGAGCAATTAACTACATCTAGTATAGAAGTTTGACACGATTAAACCACTTAATAGCATCCAAATAGCCAATACTTCATTCAAATGCCCACTGGTTCTCCCGACGAACCTCTTCCTCCTCCTCAGGCGTGAAGTCATTCTTGATGTTAAAAGTCTTCCTGATCTCTTCAGGGGTCTTTCCCTTGATCATGTCAGCAACAGTTTGACAAGTAAGATCCAGCAATCCCTCGATGTTCAAATAGTTTGCTGCCTGCAAAAACATATTCCAAGTCACAAAACAAGACTCAATTTTCGAATTTTGTAAACAAAACCTAATGAAATAAGACATTATCATCACCAACAGCAACAATTATTCAATAATTCTGCGATGCAACAAGCAGGCCTTACTCAGACAATGATGTGAACAGAGGACAATTAGTTATAGATTTATACTTCTTATTGAATATATGCACAACCACAATAGCAACTATAAGAAAGTATTGATGCTCATAATTCTAATACATGTTTATGCATTATAGTCACACAAGGTATTAATAATAAAGAATCAAACTTCTTCATCTAATGAATTCTAAAATGAAACAAGATAACAGTTTCATCAATAAACGCGGAGAGAATCAAACAAAAAACATGACAACTATACTATAAGTTTAGTTACAGATGGAATAAGTAGCACAGCTTCTCTGCCTGTATCCTTAGAAATACAAGATACACGACAATGGTTTGTTTTCTTCAAATTTTTAAGATAACCCTACGACTTGTTACACAATTGTACATTCAACAAACTATCTACGAATTCATTAGCCTCCTAAATCAAAACACCAAAAAATCACCAAAAGCAAACAAATTGAAACATAGTTTAAGATGCATAATCATATGAGAAACCAAGTCACATCACAATCCGATTCCAAAACCCTAGCCTTGTCATTAAATAAACCATTAACAAATATACGAAACATCAAGAGAACAGAAAAAAGAAACAAAAAAAGGGATAAAAGAGAGAGAAAAATCGACTGACCAGAATGAGATCAAAGAGAGTGACTTGATCGACCTTGACAAACTCAGCGTCCCAACTTTTAATTTCATCATCGGCCGCTCGATCGTCAGTCTTAGGAGTCTCGACGTGCTTTTTGCAGTACTCGATCACCTTGGCCAGGATCTTACTCGTAACGTTGGGCAAAGGTATTCCGTTATCGGCGCAATCATCCTCGATCATGTGCTTAATCGTTTGCGATTCCACCGCCACCGCTTCGTCCACCTCGAACGATTCGCCGTCCGAGCTCTTCAGAGTAATCTTCCTCCCTGACGACGACATCGTTTTGCTGCGGATTTTTCAAAAGACAAAAAAGAGATAATCAACTAATCAGGGTTTTCTTTTTCAGGTGGGGGCAGTATAAGAAGGGAATTTTTCTTGATGAAAAATTTGTTAGGCTACCCTTATTTATAGAGAGGGGCGGGGTAGTTTGGGGAAGGGAAGGTTTCCTTATCGAAACGGTAGGAATCATAGACGTGGCGTTACGTGATTGTTCATCGTTCTGAACATACCAATAACATATTAACACGTGTAGGAAGGAAGGGAAAGTAAACGAAACATAGGATTAGACGCGATGGCCTAGGACTTTTACCATTCATTCATGTGAAAAAGGGGGCCGTTGTTTAATTTAATCAAATCTCAAATTTAGTGAATCCCAATATCCATTAAATTAGTAAAGGCTTTGTCAAAGGAAGGAAACATTTAGAATTTAATTCAATGACCCTTTTTGGCCTTTTTCCATCCAAAAGGAAAAAAATTTCTTGTTTGGCAGCTGTTCTTTATCTCTGAAGAAATAAACATGGATCCAAAACCACTTTTACATATCTGTGCTGAATTGGACTAATTTACATATCTGTAGATTCCAAGGCAAGGGGAGCAATCTTTTAGTACAGTATCAATTTAACAGAGATACTGGAGGCTGCTTATATTCTATATTAGGCTATGTAAAGTATAAACCTTCCAAGGAAATAAGCATTTCAGTCCTTTTACTCATGATTCCATAAATTGTGATGGTGGAGGGCTTGTTTTAGTCTTCTCAGAACCTGCAAGTTCATATGATTTGCCAAGATTATGACATGAAGAAACCAGACCACAAAAATCACAAGCATCATGGGTGAAAACAAAAAATCACTTGATATTATCAGACATGATCAGAGGTTCGCTTTAGAACTAAAATCATCTAATATATGTTCTAATTTACTTGTCATTAGATAATGTAGAAGAATATGAGTATTTCGACAAGATCATGAGGCTCTTGGCGTATATAGGACATACCATGAGCCCCACGCATCTCTACTTCTCGCCATTCTTGAACAAGGGCACAACAGCAGCACATCAAATGTGAGAGGAAATCATCAATAAATCCACCCTGCCAGATGAAGAAAAGTGTAGCATTTTAAGGAAGCTGAATTCAAAGATCAAAACTTACTGTGAACAACTAATTGTAGAGCTTACATCCAACACTAAGCTTTCTGTTGAGAAAAAAAAAGGTTGCAGGAAGTAATTATCATTGAATCACATGGAGGTATATATGCACCCAACAAGAAGAATAGATTATGGACATGATCTGATGTTAGCCCGTTTGACATATGGAATAATGGAAAGCACTAGGCATGCTAATCATGTTCAGACAGCTCTAAACCTCATACTCATGATGGCTATGATTAGCAGAGCACCACAGATGGCATAGTAAGGGATATAATGTACAATAATCTATGACCAATGAGGCCAAGGTAACAGCATCTATGCCATATTCTGACATAGCAGAAAACTTATGATTCAGGGTTTTTTATTTTGCACAAGCAAAATACTTTTTCATTGGCAGAGAAAATACCGTAATGTTCAATGCCTTGCGAAGTTTCCTTCTGACGCAGCAAGTGTAGCAACAGCATGACAATATCAATGAATATGCCATCAATTCATTGCATGCCTCTGCAGAAGCTGAAAAAAATTGCTGTGTAAGCTTCGAAGCAATACCAAAACTGAAAATAGAATTTCAAAGGTGTTGCAGTTGATAAAACACTATTTTGTAGCAAGCCAACAACAGAAAACGTAATTTCCTTTCCCAAGAAAAGCCGAATTCGCTTAATCACTTATGCATGCATGCTAAGCAATATAGAAACACATACATACATATTTTAGTACAAATATATAATCCTTATAGATCAGGGTAAGTTAGAAATCAACACATCAAATTCTTGCAGATATGAAAATAATCAACAAAAATGAAGATCACACAGATAAACACTCAAGCTACAAAGAAATTATTAAGTAATCTAAATATAATTCAGAAATACTTACACACGTGCCTGTTTGTTGCCACAGTAGCAATCTTTGAAAATGTACCACAAGGATAGAAGAATGTCCTTATACCTGCAATGAGAAAAGGTGGCTTAGAAAATCAGATGAACAACAACAAATACAGGAAGGTCAGTTCCACCAGAGATACTGTCCAAGAAATCTTACTGAAGACTGAGTCCCTCTTGTCCCTCCAGAAAATGAAAAGAAACAAAAATTAAATTATTTATAAAAAAAAAAGGTGTTCCCATCGCCTTTCTAGGAGCTAAACAATCTCAAGTTATAAGTTGTAACTTCCACGATGTCGGAGGCAGTAATAATGTAAAAAAAGACATACACAGAAATGGTTCCGAGCAACAACCGAGCAAATCAGCATGCCATTCTTCATACCCATGCGAATCTCTATCAGACAGCAGATCATGTCCTGATGAAACTGAAGACGTGTTTCTGAGCAAAAATATATGGCATAGAACTTTTAGAAACCACCCTTATATCTGAGTACATGAAATGCATAAACTGTGACTGCATATTAGAAAGCTTAAGGACTCAAGACACAAAAACTGAAACTCAAATGCCAAATTCCTTGTAAATGGAAGAGCATCAAAATGTTGGCAACTAAGTCTTGCATTAAAAGCATACAAATTTAGCTTTACAACCTTTTAACTTTATCACAAGAAATTAGGAGGCAAATTAATTTATCAAGTAAAAAATCTATTTGTACAGTCCTAATAATGTCTACATCAGCTTTCAATTCTTATAAGGCATAAGGCCAAAGGTAAATGGCAAAATAGGGACAGATTAAAGGGGATGTTGCTGCATGAGAAAGTTTTTTATATAGAACCATGATTGCATTTTGAAAATGTAAAACTAAAAACGAAAACAAAACTAACCTTGAAGTTGTGTGAGAATCGGGCTTATTTGGATAGCTTTCATCATATGAATGACCTTTCTGACTATTGGCATCTGAGTAATTATGCTCTACTTTCTTAGACCCTTTCATGGATGTACTCTTTTCGGGAATAGAAGTTGCAGCAGCAGCTTCTGTTACATCAAGCAAATGCTGGATTACTTCACACTGTTGAACATCATAATTAGCTTGTGATCGTTGTAGTTCCAGTTGAAGCTTCTCGTTTTCCTTTTGAAGTGCTTCATTAAAACACAAGTTTGGATATGAGCAAGAAAGAGTTTTTTCCAAAATCATGGCATCATTTTTTGAGGGCTCTGGTTTCAGTATAACATCTTGCACCCTTCTGTCCTCTTCATCCAAAGTGTACTCATTTTGATCTTTCTCAATAACTTCTAGTCTCTCCTGCAGGTTTGGGAGAACTGAAAACTTTAGCAAAGCAGGCTAAGCTAGAGATATGAAATTGCTCCAACCACAAGAGATTTTAGTCACTTAAATTATCCCATTGATTATTTTTTCCAATGATATTGTGGCCCATAAGTTCCTATGACTAAGCAACATATTCCAATCTTCCCAAAGAAAAAATCATGTACTCTGTGACTTAGATTTCCATATGATACTAGGAAAGAGAAGATAAAGTGGTCGAAGAAACATTCGCTAACTAGAAAAGCATTAATAGGAAGGAAAATCATATAGGATTACCAACCCATCCAAACCCCACTTTGCCAAGCTAAAAATGCAAATAAATGTGACAAACACTCACTAACCCTTGCACTTTATTGAAGTTAAGCGAGCCATTGTGCTATAATTGTACATGACAGTATCTTCTTGAAGAGTAACATATAAAGATCCATAAAAGCACTCATGTTCAGGCCCATTTCCTAGCATTTCAAGATCAAAATGGCATTTGTATCCCGTAATTTTTATCATTATTACCAGTAAGTGTAAACAATTATAGAATAAAATCTAATTTGGCAGGTCTTCAAAGGTTGTCTAATGTACTAAGGAATGAAAGATAATCCTACATTTATGATAGCCAAGGAAAGAAAGATAACTGAGGAAACAAAGGAAGAATCAAGTGCTATTGGAGATCCATTAGAAGACACTTTACAAAGTTTGCAGCAACCAATTTTAGACAATCGAAACAGATGACAAGCATTTCTAAAGCTTACCATCTTCATTTTTCAAGAAGCAATTCCAAACCCAAATATCATTTTCAAAGCTTTTGAGAATCATGCAAATAAGCAAAAACAAAGCTAAGGGGAAAAGTTAAAACAGCAACAAGAGTAATCAATACCCTGACTCGAGCATTATCCACCAGAGTGATAAGAGGAACAATCTTCAAATATCGATCGATTTCATTCTGGGCCTTCCTAAACTGATACACAATGTTCCATCCCATGGCCAGAAGATAGAGATAGCTCCTATCCTGACAACTATTGACCAAAATGTAAGACCTCCTTAATGCATCCTCAAGCTGCTCCAATGGCTCCCGTGTCTCAGGATACCTCTTAAGGTCCGAGATCTTGAGCTGCTCCAGCAAGTTACCGATCAACTTGAGATGCTGCGCGAATTGCCTGCAATTCTTCTTATGCATTCGCGCTGTGCTTGCAGCTTTAACTATCATAGCAACTAACCGCACTGCATCAAAGCCCGCGAGCTGGGCTACATTTGCAATTTCACCAAAATGTTCCCAAGAAGACGCCATCGTTTCCTCTCAATCAAACCTAAAACCTGCTTTATATATAAGTTTTCATTACATCGCTCCACAATCCATTTTTAATAAATTAATCAAACAATTTGACCAAATTATATATTTCCAGAGCCAAAATTGAACTTAATGAGCAGTGATTTATTACACACACACACACACAAACACACAAAAAAAAAAAAAAGGCTGAAGGAGAGATTTTCGCTCGTTTTCACTTCACCTCTTCTAAGCTAGAAGCTTCATCATAACAAGAGCTTTGATGTTTCCGCTACGCTTCTTTGCTTGCATTGCTCAACAAAAGCCAGAGCTGATTTGTTTAAAGAATCGACAATACGTAGCTGAAACTTGAGAAATAACAGAATCTGTGGTTTCAAGCAGGCATGATCTATCCAGGAATTGCATACTCAGTCGAGATCTTCGATTTTTCAGAGCTAAGAAGAGCGCAATATCCGTTTCAACTGCTTAAAAAAAAATTTTTAAAAAGATCAGTTTGTAAGATACCATAATCTAGAAGATTACCCGTCACGCTTCTTCGTTCACTTTGTCAAGTCAAAAGAATTTTAAAAAAGAAAACGGAATGCGAAGCGATCCAACTCTTCAAGATGAAAAAAGAGAGACAGCCAAAAGAAAAAAAGAAAAAGAAAGTTGAAATGCAAATGCAATGTATTTGACTGAATATACAGATGAGCTATTCTATGAACCCTCATTAAGCTTATGACCTTTTCTTCAAGGCCAACAAAAAATTATAGTAACAAAAGAAAAAAAAAAAAAAAGGACGGCAGGACCTGAAAACAGACAAGTAATTAGAGAGAGAGGAATCAAAAAGATATGAAATAAATGACAAAGAAAAACGTGCGAATGGTAGCGAGACACTCACTTACTCCTCAGGAGTTTTCTCTTATTTTATGCAATGATTCTTTTTTCTTTTTTCTATGTTCAAGAAAAAAAGAGTCCGAGTTTAAAAGAAAACGAGGATTGAGTTCTGGAATTAACGGGCATTGCTTTGCGCAAAACGGAGAGCTTCTCTCCGCTCTTATTCTTGTTCTTCTTCTTCGCTCAAAAAATAGTTTCTCTCTCTATCTTTTATCGCTCAGAGTTTCAGTGTTGTTTGTTTGTTTGTCGCTGCGTGGGTGCAGACCCAGTGACTCACCACCATGCCAGACAAGCAATGAGTTTTGTGACTTTGACGTGGAGGTGGTAAATTTCAAGTACGCAAATGTCCTCCTTTGTTTCTTTTATTTACGACAATGCCAGCGATTTTCACGGAGGGTAATTGCACGGTAAAAGATTTCAGATTTCTGAAGGGTGGACTCTCATGTCGTAAAATAATTGAAGGGCAGGGACGCTCACCCAGCTGGCATCAAACGACTGCTCTGGTCTAGCTTTTGGATCAACTAAACAAGTGTCCTATCAAAATTTAATAATTTTCAAGATGATATATATAATAATATGAAAATGAGATTATTTAACATGTCATATAAATTACATAATGTTTATATTTATATATATTTAATACAAAATAAATATAAATACACAAATTCTTAGGGTAATACTTGATATTTTTTACAAGATAATCATGATAATATAATTATTGGAGTAATTTTATTATTAAAATGATCTTAATACTCATAATTTAAAATTATTTTATTTGATTAACTATAATTAATTTTTAAAAATTAAAGAATATTGTGCTTGATATTATTAAAAAACTAAATATTATTTTATGTAAAAATAAGAAAATAATTATGCATATTGTAATAATTATATAAAGTAATAATTTTAAGGTTATTTACACATAATAATTTGTAAAATATTGATAATATTTATTTTATAATAAAATCTAATTAAATTATTAAATTAATAAATATATTTATTGATAAGTAAATTGATTTTTCTAATATAAATTATGTAAAAAAATATTTGAATTAGAAAATAAAACCATTTTATTAAATTCATAATAAAAATAAAATATATTATATATAAAATATTAAAAAATAAAAAAATGTAAATTATTTTAAACTTATTATAATGAATATTAGTTTAAAAATATAAAATAATTATAATATAAAATAATTACAATTTTAAGATACAGTAAATTTTTAATTCATATATTGAATAGATAAAATTAATTATTATTAATTTTACATATTATTTCATCTTTGTGATAAAATTTTTTTATCTTTTTATATAAAAATTAAATTATTTTTAAAGGCAATAATTCAATTACTTTCAATAATTTAAGATTATTATCACGTAAAATTTTAATACTTATTAAATATAATAATCTAATCGCTATATCTAAATTACCATAATTTTTAAAATGATCAACGTTACCTAAATTTATATTCTACAATAGAGGTAATTGTTGTCAGTGTGTCATTAAACATAAGCCGTCCTACTCCTACCTTAATTAAGACATAATAATTTTTAATAAGTGCTATGCATAGAACTTATTTTTTATGAAATTATTTTAATTAATTAAGTCTTAAATTTTTTTGATTTTAAATCTATATGTTGTTGTTATTTTAATTTGAAACCAAAGTATAAAAAAATCTTCTTATAAAATTATATTTAAAATTGGAGAGTATATTATATTTTTATTTTTTTCCAACAATCTTAAATTATGTTTTGTAACTTAAATTTAAAAGAAGATATTTGAATTCTAAAATTATTGTAAAATATATGATAAAAAAACATGTATAAATATAAATATTATTTTATGATTATTTTTCAAATTTAAAATTTTTTGGATTTTGAGTTTGAAACATTTATATAAAAAAGTGAATTTGAAATTCATTTTTTATATATTTCAAATTAAATTAATAATCATATTGAATTTTATTAATTTGTATAACAAATAAAATCGAAAGTCATTTTGTTCAATTCACATTTTTTAAACGTAATAATAGTGTTTTCGATTGAACGCCCACTTATTTAAAAAAATATTTTAAATTTTTATGAATTTATCAAACAAAAAACATTAAAAAGTTTATAATCTAAGAAATATATATTAAAATTAATTTAAATTTTTTTATATTTAAAACCTAATAATTTAATTGTAGTCAACATATTTTTATATATCAAATAACTATTAAATAATTAATTTTAAAAATTTTATTTGAAAACTCATACTTGGTCATTGATTATATTTTCCTACTTCTATATACATACATTTTAATAGATCTTTTTAGATTATAATTTTTTTAGTATTCAAGATTATCATAATTTGAATCATAATAACTGGAATTTAGTGTTCAACGTTCTATTAATAATCTCCATTGTTGTTGATTTTTTTAAAATTATAATTGATTCTAAATTATAAATATAAAAGACTACATAATATAACAATCAAATCAAGGTTATGTAGTATTAGTTTAAGGAGGGGTGAAATTTTTTAAAATAAAATAATACAATTAATAAATTATTTTTATAAAAATATATTAATTATTTTAATGATTATATAATTTCTAAATATTATAAGTTTTTGTTTGAATATCAAATAATTGATAGGTAATAGGTTTTTTAAATATATTTTTGAAAATTTAATAGGAAGCAATTCAAATTCTTTTCTCTTATGTTAGAAAGTTCTCTATTTAATGTAGTATTATAATATTAGAAAGATAATATATAAAATTGAAATTTGATTTTTTAATAATTTAAATTCATTTTATTATCTTATATAAGTATAAAAAAGACAAAATTTTTGGCACAAAAAAAATGTCCAGTGTGAATAGTCTATACATGTGGACGGTATTAAAAAATGTTATATTTCTTCTAATAAATATATTTTATTTTATTTGATACATTTTTAATTTAAAAAATAATTCAAAAAAACTAAATTAACTACATTTATTTTTTATTATTTACCTTAAATCACTATCATTAAATTCATATGAAAGGTATTAAAATTTTTATTGCTATTAATAATAAATAAAATAATTTTATGTTTTTTTTTCAATTATAAATATTCAACTCTTAAATTATATTTATTAAAAAATACTTTTAAAATTTTTTAAAAATATAATCTAGTGGCTCCATCTTTTAAGTTATATATATGTATATATATATATATATTTAATACATTGATTTTAAAATAATTAATAGATGATCAAATCAATTAAAATTAATATTAGTTTGTCAAATCAAATTAATTTTATTATTATTATATTAATTTAAAAATCTCTCTTTTCATTTATTCCAAGCACATTTAATCTATATTATACTTGACTATTATAATTGTTAAGTATAAATTACTCTCAATTTAAAATACTATTACTCTTAATTTTGGTCTTAATTTATATTAGTTAATTAATCATTTAAAAATAAATAAAAATCTTTCCTTGCATATTAATAGAAAAAATTGAATGTGTTTTATAATAATGAAAATCAAATATTTGAAATCAAATTTATTTTATCATTAAATTCTAAATTTTAAATTTTAAATGCATATTCAATTCTGAACATATATCAATTTTTTAAATTATTCATATGTAAAAAATATAAACTATTCACATTAGATTTTTCTTTTGTTAAAGATTTTGAATTTTATATATTTATATAAGATTAATCTTTTTATTTATACTAATAATTGTAATAAAGTCTTCAATTTTTTGATTTAATAGTAATTTTTTAAAAAATATATAAAGAAAAAAAATTCAAATTTTATTATTTTCATTTTTATTCCCTCTTTCCAATTTTGAAGATAATAGTACATGGTTGATCACACAAAACCATGGTTGAAGGCTTTTTGGGTGAAGAAAACATAAAAGGTACAACATGATTTATTAGAATAATGTTTTACCAACGATGTGGTTGTGTCCTGGCTTTCTTGCTTGGCTTAGAAGCCTGGTTTACCAATTTCAAGTTGACAAGAATATGTTACTTAAAAGGTTTATAGTAACATAAACGGTGGCTTGATTTAAGCATGGTTTAAATCTTGGCATCTTTACACTACCTCCATTTCCAATTGTTAGAAATTCTTTAATTTTCACAAATATTTTAAAAAATTAAAATTTAATTTTATATAAAATTAAACTTTTTATAATTTTAATATCAAAAGTAGGAAAAAAAAAACATAAAAAATAATTTTAGTGAACAAATAACGAAACATCCAAAAAAAAAAAAAAAGACAAAAGGAGTAATGAACTACTTTATCTAATAAGGAGGCTTAAACACAAATAATACCATTTTTTTTAATAACATCATTGGTAGTTTTAGATTTTGCTTGATTCTCAATTTTTTTTTTCGATATTTTAAGCAGCACATTTTTGACTTCACATGCATTCAAGATTATTATTATTATTATTTTTCGCTTCTTTTTTAAAATTGATTCGTCATTGATAAAATCATTGAAAAAAGAAGAATTTTTTTTTTTATCAACAATACGAACTTATGTGATTTAGTTTTTTCAAATTTTTATTATTTATTTTATGTCAGATTTCGTACTGATGCTTTTTTTTAATTTATTTTTAATTATCTTTTATTATAAAAAGTAAACAAACAAAAACACTAACTAAAAGAATTATAAAAAAATTATTATCTTTATAATATAATACAAATATAAAAAATATCAAAGTTGATAGTTGGTCTCCCACTAGATCAATTTTTACTAATGAAAAAAAAACTCCAACGCAATTAATATATTCAACCAAATAAATCACCAATAACTTAAAAGGACGCAATTAGCACTCACCGTGGGTGCGATTGCATCCAAATTGGCCCTAAGTTGAAGCGAGGGTGGTGGAGTTTAGAGATTGGAAGCGATAATAATGTAATTGGAGAGGGATTAAAGGCAAAGCCATCATAACCAAAGGAAGACAACAAAAAAAGAAGCAAGGCAAATAAGCCTCTATTTGAATAAGCAGTAAAATTAATTATGATAAAAGTAAAAATAATAATAATATTTATTATAATTATAATTATAATTATAATAAAAAATTTAATAAAAAATTTATGTTAATTTAATTTTATTAAAATTAATATTTAAATTTAATTAAAAATATAATAAATTTAATTATATCGCACCGAGAATTCGTAATCCAATCAGCTACTAAAAAGAGGACTACGAATATTCTAGTTGAACATCCATTCTCTGTGGCAACTGCCGTGTGGGCTCATTAATTGTACGACCATGACAGTACCTCACATGCGTTCCATTTACTCGTGTCCACATTCTACCTCCTTTTTCCTATCTGTTAGTCGCTCTCTGTCTCCTCACCCCCCATGTTACAATCAATCACAAGCTAATTACAAATTTTGCCACTCTTTTTTCCTATCAAACCATATAAACATACTACAAACTCTATCACGACTTCATGTTTTTTTCACCATGTATATGTATATATAAATATATATATGTGTATCTTTTTTTTTTTTTTTAACAATTATATAACTTCATATTACTCGTTGATTAGTTTATTTGCATCTTTTTAACACGAGTTTATAAAAAATAACCTATCTTCACCATTAAATACTCTCCTTATCGCTAGCTAGATGTATAAATCAAAAATTAATTGTGTTATACCTTAATGGTTACCTCAACAAATATTTTGACTATCATATCATTAATGATATCATATAGTTTTAGGATAAATAATTATTTGTTCCCAAATCACATTCATCAAATGTAAAAATAATAATAAACATATAACATTCTCTTTTCCATCTTCTCTACTTCCTTTTTTATTAATTTTTTCTTGCTTTGCTTTTTTTTTTTTTGTATATTTAATTGATCTGAATATCGAATTGCACCTTGAAATATTATTTTTAGTGCCTTTGATAATGCCGGATTCTTTAAAGTGTCTAGGGCGTCATATCCCCCAAAAAATTTATTTATTTTTTTTAGATATGTTATCTTCATAATAGTTTTGAATTTTTTTTTTATATAAAACACTTGTTTGGCTCCCTTAAATTTAAATACAAATTTTGAGGGAGCCAAACAAGTTTGACACAAATTCGAATAAAATCTGAAACTTTTTATAAGTACAAAATTTTATATATTTTACATATAGAAATAAGTAAAATATTCGAATATGATACAAATAATAAATGTTTTATTTAAATTTATTAATTAATTATTTATAATAATTGGAATTTGATATAAACAAATCATTTTATTTACTATTTATTACATCCCTAAATAATAATAATAATTGTGTCGTACGCTTCATTAATTATTATTATTATGTTCCTAAATTTCGGAATCAGTTCATCAAATTAGGGAAAAAAAATCATTAGGATCAGGCCCCATTTAAGGTCATTATTGTCGGATGGCATGAAAACTAAAAGGAGAGAGAGAGAGAGAGAGAGAGAGAGAGAGAGAGAGAGAGAGAGAGAGAGAGAGAGAGAGAGAGAATTGATGAAGTAGTTTTTAATTTCTGGTCATAAAATTGATGGCTCAATGGGGTCCCCGGCACCAACTTTGGCCGAATTACATATGGGATAATGTACTGCAAGCTAAGGCGTGAAGACTTGATGTTTGATGATGGAAACACAATTGACAATCCACCTTTCCACAACAAAACATTTTAAAGCAATATTTATGAGATGATGCATAAAGATGAACTGTCTGTTTTTTTTAGATGTGATGGTCCTAGATAATTATTTCGTTCTTTACTAAATTTAATCATTAATTCGTGTTTCGCTTTGATAAATTTGTTGTCTTTTCTAAGCAACGACGATCAATGCTAAGTAGTAGTTCATGTGTAATTTGCAAGTCAATTTTGAGTCTTTTTCAATGGTTATTACCATGGTCGCCATTCATATAAAAATATCTACCAGCCTTTGAGGGTTGTTAATCTAAAAATGCACAACAAAGAATTCATATAGAACTATCAAACTATAAAATTATGTTTCATTTGAATAGTTGATGAAAACATATCTTTATCGTACCATTGCACTCGTTTTTCGTTGGATTTATCCAACTCAATATCTTGAAATGTGGTTTTATGTATATGATCATAGCATTGCCAAAAAATAAGACAATTGGTAGTTTTTGGTTTTGGGTTATAGGAAATTGGGAAACAAACTTTTCCTTTTTAATCAAAAACACCCTCCTATTATGCTATCATATTCATCCACTTGCAAATAAAGAAAATAAAAAAAAAATGAAGCAAAGGGGTAGTAAATAAGGAGGAAAAAAGCCAAGCTGAACATGGTAGGAGATGGATTAGAATGGGATCATATAGTTATTTAAATAATTCTATGTTTTAGACAACAAATTTGTTTTATATATCCTTGTGTCCTTGGGCATCTTTTATATGCGTATATTCTTTGGTGAAATATTCAATCTTTAACCTAAAATTTAATTATAACAAAACAATAATGGTGCATTAATCTACTCCTTTATTTTACTAAACATAATATTTCCTTAATGTCACAGGGCGAGATAACTATATTTCATTGTCACGAGTGGGTGAGATTCCACGTAAAATAAAAACATATCATATTAAAGCATCCATTACAAAATTGAATATAAAACTCATCGGAGTGAAGATTAAGGTTGTTTGCATTTAAATTCAAGCCTCGCAACATACCACAAACTTTTTTTTTTTTAATTAACCGATGAAGAAATTATTGGTTAATTGAATATAAAATTCGTTTGTTTCGATTATAAATTTATAATGTACCTTATGCTAGTATATTGAATAGGACAAAATAAACCCTTTAGTATAGTATTTTAATATGTTACGGATACATTAATATAATTATTTGATGCTGTCCATGTGATTTAGTAGGCAGATACAGCAATTTAATTATATGGGTAATATAAGCCCAAAAGGCCATATATGTGAAGTAGGTCAATTGGAATCCGCAGATGTGTTTAAGTCAGAGAAAAGCCATAAGAGAGTTAAAAGGTAAGCTTGTGAACAGAGTTTATCACTAGAAAACAAACGAGTCTTGGTTTTAAACGCTGGAAAGCTATTTCCATTTAGGGGTTGTTGAGGGTTCCAAAAACAGTATAAAAATCATCTAGTTGGAATTGAATCAATTTTGCAGGTTGCGGCAACTACGATGGGAAACCACTTTCCCATTCCTTCTTTTTCATAGCAAAACTTTTCGTGACGGTGTAAAAGTTTGGACCCCTTTTTTTTTTTTTTTTTTGGGTGCTGTGAACGTGACTCCATTTCTTTTTGGGCTATTATGAATTTTTAGTTTCTTGTTGTTTTTCACAATCTTTGCATTATTGGAAGATTGGAACAATTCATGAAATATAATAGTGGAAATAATCTAATGAGGACAAATGAAAGTGCTTACCGGGGGTTTGGAATAAAATTTAAAGTATTTATAGGATAAAAAGATAAGATCAAGTTAAACTGTTGCCGTGTTAGATAATTTATGAATTTGTATTATGTTTGTTTTATATAAATAAATATAAAATATAAAATGTATATTTTAATTTTTATATCTTATCACCATGGTATTATTTCTAAAATTATCGCCTTGGCGCAAAATTCACAGCTGCCGGTCGGTCTTGCCAAACCCACGTCAACTCGTGGTCCTTTTGGAGCTGTTGTCTATCAACATAGATGTCCTTGTCGTTGCATCCATGATAATTGTCTCCCAATTCAAGTCCTATTTTTCCGATTAATTAAGGGGAATGGGGGAAAGTAAAGGAATTCTTCTAAGTCACTCCTTCCCCCAAATTTAAGTGCAATAAAGGGAGTTTCCTTACCCATCAATGCAAATGTAATCCAACCTAACATCCAATCCCCCATTTAAGTACTAATTAACAAACTCTAATTTATGATATCATCACGTATGAGGGAGCTTTTTAAGTATGGATCCCCCTAAATTTATGTCCATACCTTAATATTTTAACATTTGTAATTCTATCCATGAGTTATGAGAGTTGCTACATACTCTATTTAAATATATTTAAATTAATTAATAAATTATTATGATAAATGAAAGAATATGTTATCATATTTTAATTGAAAATTAAAAATTTTATTGATAATGTGTAAAATAATATTTAATATGAAATATTATCTTAATAGTCATAGATGAGATGATATTTATGAATTTTTTTTGTACAAAGCCACAATGCCAACATAAAATAACCCTAAATTTATTAAATGTTAGTTTTTAAAAATAATTGAATAAATGAAATGAGCAAAGTAATGTATTCTATTTTTACGTAGATTTGAGAAATTGAGATATGATTCAACGATCGCTAAGCACAAATTTGTGACCGAGGTGAGCAATAAATATGAAGGATTTGCGGGCTAATCATAGGTACGTTCAACTGGCTATGGATATGGATTTGGACCAATCCTTGGAAACAAAATGAAACCTGCTCCCCAGGTTATTGAAAGGGCCCATGATATATATGTTTTCAATCAAGTAAATAAAGGCATTATTTCATTTATGAAGGATAATAAAGAATTTCAAACTATCAAATGGATAATAAGAGAAATTTCAGCACTATTTCAAAAATTTGAACACTTCAACTTGGATATAGCCTTAAATTTATCCATAAATATTTGTTATAAAATTTTTAATTGGTTAATTGATGGTCAAAATTAGACACTTCTCAACTTAGTCCGCTTAAATTATTGGAAATTACAGAAATTGTTGAAGACTTTATAGACAAAAGAAACTTCCACGGACCATAGCGCCCTTGGAACTGAGCTTCAAAATTGGCTAGACTTTGGGCACACAGGTGTAATAAATGATGCGTGAAAGGGTTTAAATGGTCCTTACGAAAATTTATTGTATCACACGAAGTGACTGATAAGAGACGAGTGTCCCCTCGTGTCCCTCGGCTTCGGCATCTACTAAAACACAATCCCTAAAATGCCCTCATAACTATGCCTTAAAATAGAAAAGCTCTGGCATTGGATTCCATTTAAATCAGAGAAAAAGGAGGTTTAAGCGGACAATGGTCGTAAATTACCCATCCATTGAGGCTAAAATAGTAATTATAAAATGTTTTTGATATTATTTCCCTCTCATATCTGCTATTTGAAATTTGACAAATTATAAAAAAATTCAAAACACCACCTTTTAAGGAAATTCAATCTTACACATTATCTAATTAAACGCGATCTACGCCGTTCGATTGGACGCAGTGACCTAAGCAATAAGGACACGATCTGGCCCACAACTTTGATACCCCAATTGTAACCTGCCACGTGTGCTACAGCTAGATCCACTGGTTTTCGTTTTCTTCGGTTTTCATTTGTTTTATTTATTATATAATTTCTTTTTCGAAAATGGCAACTGTTGTTGAAAATTTTGGCGGGCAATTAAGAGAAATTCGAATAAAAGAGCAAACCCTAGCGGGCAGCGGCCCCATTTCTTCCCTCTCTCTCCGTCTCTCTCTACAAACCCTTCTGACACACTCTCTCTCACTAAAATTCCTCTCTTTATGAAATTTCCTATCACACGGGAATAACTGTTAATTTAAGGCTGGTAAGTACATCTATTTCCTTGATTTCTTTTTTTCTATTTAGGATTTAGTTCTTGTTCATCTTGGGCTTCGTTTTCTTGATGAAGTTCTTGCTTTTTTTTTTTTTGTTTTTTGTTGGCTGATTCAATTTTTGTTTTGGAACTACAGAGGAGATAAATTGAAGAGGATTTGGACATGTCAAATCATTAATCATGTGAGTTTTGCTTATTTAGCATTTATGTGGTTTTTTCCTGATTATCTTTGAGCCCTCATTTTGCATCTCTGATTGTTCGATTTTGGTGGTTTTTTGAGTTGAAAAAAAAAAAGAGAAAAAAGAAGTACGTCCTGTTATAGTATAAAAGAAAGTTCATTTTCTTGCATTTGAATGTGGGGTTTTTGAATTTCAGTTGATTGCTGCGTGGTAAGGTGTAATTATTCAAAAACTCAGATTAAATCAATCAGGGAAAAAAGGTATAGAATAGAAGGAAGAAAAGAAGAGTGAGAAAAGATGGGAAAAATGTCTCCGAAAGATGGGGAATTGAAAACAACAAAAAGGAACAGGCGATTGAAGAATTCCAGCAGTAAGTATCTAAAACCAGGTACTCTCGCTCAGATTCGATACACTAAAGCTTCAGCCACCAAGTTGTGTACCGATCTTGGGAAGAAAAGGGTGGCTGTATTAGGTGCCAAGAAACCAGAGGATGATAATCTTTTGATGGAAAATAAGGTTATTGAGAAAAGCCCTTTGATGTTGTCGCCCGTGGATTTGCATAAACAGAATAGTTTGGTGCGGACTCCAAAGACACCTCGGCCTGAACAATTTGAATCAGAGTCAAGGCTTGAGTCTCTTCCTATTGATTTACTGGTATTTATTTATAGTAGCCTTTATTATTCTATTTGAATGGCGTGACCTGAAAATGCTTTATTCCTACTTCATTCAATGGATTGCTGATTGTGTATGCATGTAGGCTGTATGACATTACAAAGTTAAAAAGTATTTAAAAGTCATTGATTTTAGATGCTGCAGAATTTGCTAAATTATTATTATTATTTTTTATTTGTTTGGGTTGTATATTTGATCTTAATTTGTAGGTGGCATACAGGATGGGTATCCTTCATGGATTATGTCGCATGTTAATATGTTTTTGTTGGCTTTACCTCTTTTTGTGGTCAGAACCACATATTACCACATTGTTGGGAACTTTAAACTTGTAAATAAATTTGTTCAAATAAAAGTGTAATATACAAGGATTCTTTTAGCTCCGGCTGATTTCAGTTATTGTTATAATATACATGATTTCAAGTGGAATTTAACAGAAGCAAAATTTCTTGAATGAAATGAAATTTGTATTTGGTCTATAGTCTTCTTCCCAAAGTTTCTTTCTCTTTCTATTATCATCTTGTGCTTTATGCCCTTTGAAAACCAATCCTTCAGATATAAGATCAATTACTTCCATGTTGACTTACCAACGTGTTTCAAAGACATTTTCTTCTATATATTAGTGTCTGCAATTGATTTTAAATAATTTGTTTATTTACATAAATATAAATCTAGGCTAATCCGGGTGATTGTTGTTATGTTGTTTGACTTGGTATTCTCGGATTATTGCCAAATGATAGTTGGGAATTTTTTCTGTAAGACACCAGTGGATATATGTTTATATAGTTTACGTATGAATAAGTACTGCAGCCAAAATTCTGAGTTTCAAGTTTGAAATTACATTATATACCCCCCCCTTTACTTTGGATGATTGTTGTTATCTGAAACTGCTTGCCTTCCATTTTTTAGAGATCATGCTCCTTCCCCTGAGTACTGATTCCCATTTCTTTTTTGATATATTGAGGTTAAAATACTTTGTCACTTGCACCATGACCAACTGAGGGCAGTTTTTCATGTTTCTCAAAGAATAAGAAAAGCTGTAAGTCAATCTCTCTCCCTCTCTCTATGCTTGCGTTTCCATTTTTGTGTGTGGATCATGTTATATAACCATTAATGTTTGTTGGTTGCAGGTTTGCCTTGCAAGGCAATTTCACTTCAATTACACAACACCCGATCGCTCAAGACAGGAGATGCTGAGTACGATGACACCAAGGCCTACAGAACACTGGCCCTTTATGAGGTAGGCCTCTAAAGGTTTTGGGTCTTTCCAACATTCTGTAAGAATATGGAATAAAAATTTGTCATTTTGTTTGCAATGTATTGGATGCTTTTCCAGCAAGGGTGTTGGTAAAAGTGTTTTGATGGGAAGCCCACACACTCCAAAAGCTCCAAGGCATGGTCCACGGCCACCTTCTCGTGTTAAAGTCACCGAGTTGAGGCAAATTGCTGCAGTGCTCTTTCAGGATTCAGGATTCCCATCGAGGTGCATGGTACCATCTGTTCTCCCAAAGCCATTATGCAAATCTTTGGCTTCCAATCGAGTGCTATTCTACGAGGATGAGTTATGCCAGGCTGTTGCTCAGAATAAGCTTCGCTGATTTCTTTCCAGTGTTCATCTCATTCGCTGGATTCCTGTGTATAGTTTATTTTTCATCCCTATAGGAGATTGTAGTTAGATTTAGAAAGTATTCAAGTATGCAATTTTGTAGCTTTGCTTGAGCAGTATTAGGTTATATGAAATTTCATATGAATCTTATCTGCGTTAAGGGTTGGAAGATCTAAATGATGAATGTTGGGTTTCACAATAATAGGTCCAGAACTGGTTGCTTGTATATCTTAGTCTTAATATATATGTTTGAAAGTATCATCGGTTGCCTTCTTCTCAATCGACTGGTTTTGGATTGAATTTCGCTTACGTACTATTTTTATTTTTGCTTGAAAGTGTTTGACACTGAAGGTGGCAGTGGTTACTGTATTTGCTTTGCACAGACAATTTACTTGACCCAAGATCGTATATTTTTGTCACCGACATTTATATCAATCTATTCTGTATTTGCGAATCCTGCTTGAAACACTCGTGCCCTCAGATAAGAAGAGTGCCATTTAGGAAATTTGCTGATTAAGTGACAAAGGGACGAAAGAGTTAGCAATTCGATGGCTAGGGTGTGAGGAAATTTCAGTTTTTTAAGTTTAGATTATTTGGTATTTGGATTATTTTGATTAGGGATTTTTTGAATTTGATATTTAAATTATTTGAATTTAAAAAATAAGTACAGGTCATTTGAGTTTAAATTATCAAATAAATTTAATTTTAAATTATTTTGATTAATATTTGGGTTAACATCATTTTAAGTTTAGATTAATTTATGTTAAATTTGTTAATTGTTTTAGGAAAAATTCAAGTCGGAATTAAGAAAAAATTTGGGATCGACTAGATCCACTGATTGGACTAATCAGAGCCAGGTGTTAGTAAAGCGATTTAAAAGCTTCGTAATCAAGCAAAAGGAGAATAATTCACTTGGACTGAAGTTGGAAATGTCATAAGGCCGGCCAAACTTGGACTACGCTAATGTTTAATAGGGCAGCATTGACTGAGTAATAAGTATGGTTGGGTCCAACCTGTCCACTAGCGATTAGCCGAGCATAGGAAGCTCTTCCATTTTACAATGAGGATTACAAGCTGCACACATTTTTACCATTGGAATTTACCAATTCCATGCTCAATGCTATCAAAATGTCGGTTCCTTATAATTTACTATGAAAATAATGCAATTACACCGAGAGCCTTATTATTTGTTAATTTCAACAGTCATATTTTAATTTTTATAATTTATTAATTAAATATTATATTTTAATTTTAATGAATATGATTTAATTTATTGATAATTTTGAATAAAAAAGATAATTCAGTTATAAATAGCTTAATCGAATAATGTGACTTTAGTCAATGGTTGGAGGCTGGTCATTGTTGTGGACAGATGTTATTTCTATTTTTTTTTTTTTTTTTGCTGAGGGGAAATAAGGAGGTGGTTGTATAACTCATTCAATTCAATTTCGAATTTAATGAAATAATAAACACAAAGTATTTAGTCAAAATAGAAAAGATAATTTTCGCATAATTTTCCATTACAAGTATTAAATTCCATTTATTACTTTTTTTTAGTACAAGAGGGTGGGGATGGGTTGGCTCGAAACTAGTTACATTTTTTTTTAAAGTTAGTTGAAGTCAAAAAAATTCATTCAGGTGCTTGTTGATTATAGTGGCTACAAGCATCTTGTAAGCCTTCTCGGAAGGATGGTAGCCATCCCAGAAAATGTATTTTGAGGCATCTTTGCATGTCAAAGGGATGCTAAGAGGATTACAGAATACGCTGGCTTCTATAAGTCCCGTGCCACAACATCCTTTATTTGCCACTTGAAAACCTGAATCAATCAATATGTACCCAACATATTATCAAGAAAAAAAAAGCATGGGTCAAAAGCAATTATTAATAATTGCTTAATGTCTGCATGGGATAAGTTTTTACCATATTTTGCAGGGTTTTGGATGAGGGAGAGCAGTGGATGATAGATATCAAGAAAGATGAGCTTTGTGTCTTGAAAAGTCAAGACCGACTTGAGAGAATCTATTACGGAAGAGAGCTTGTCGTTGTAGAGCGATACTAATTGGTTTTCATCCTCGTAACATTCTCTGTTTTTGCCTCCACCTATGGTTCGCTGAGATGGCACACACCCTATCGGTGGCAAACCCAACAACCCGATTCTTCTTGCCCCTAGTCCATATAGCTCCTGCCAGATTTCCGGGTAATTAGCTGGATATTGATAGTCAGGACGATTTTCAAAAGAGTAATGCTACATAGAGTCCAAATTTCAAGCTTTTACTGGGAATTGGTTTTTCCTTTTTTGGTATAAAATTTGTAGTATAGGAATAAGAGAGTTGGGAATTCAAATTTTAAATTTATTGGATATTATTTTTTGAAATTGATTATATGAATAAATTGAGTTAAATTTTGATTTGGACAAATTGTTTCTTTATTTTATATAATAAACCTTTTGAATGTTGCTTGAGATGCTCTTATACATAAAAATATGAAAATAAATAGATTGCTTAATTTTACAGGTTTCAATAAAATACGTGTATTTCATTGAAATCATGGATTCAAGATTAATACCAACAAAATGTTACCAGTAAGATTCAGAGTTCAACCTTATAAAGTTACTTAAAATTGATTATAGTTAAAGTTTGAATGTAGTGTCAAGAATTTTAGTACTAAATATGTTTGTATATACCTGCAAGAATTTAGAAGCATAGCTGGCAGTGAATTCTGAATATGAATTGATATCATAATGGGGTCTCCTAATTGGTGTAGAAAAGTAAGTATTGGCAACATCGTTGCTACCACAGCACACTATATATATGCCTTTTGAAATTATGGTTGCAGTTTTCTCTTCTCCCACTGCTGACTGTATCTTCGTTGTGTATTGTTTGAACAGTTCTAATTGATCCGACATTGATAAAACATTCTGGTAATTCTCAGACAAAGATGAGATATAATTAGTCCGACACCGTAATAAATTCAAGAAAAAAAAAAAAAGAAAATGAAGAGAAGATATATCATATATATATTTATTTATTTATACCGCTAATTTAGGTGTGATAGGATCATATCCCGCAGCCCCTGAGGCAAAACTGACACCAGTGAGGAGGTCTTGGAGCGTCAGGTTTGGATCAAGATAAGCAGGCACCAGCTGTTTTACACCAAATTCTTCAGCTGCAAATGGTTTTGATTGAAAATCATTAACAATGTATATTAAATAAAATGTGAATTTCTTTTTCTTTTTTTTTTTACTTGAGAGTGTAATATTTGACTTCTGATCACTAGAACAAGAATCCAGCATTTTATCAAGAGACTACATGGCTCTGGCTACTGGCTTAGGCTACACTACCCACCTATAATGTCGGAAGGGACCTTGCCATTGGAGAACCTTCCGGTAGGTCCTTTCTTGAAATCTCTGCCATACGGGAGGAAATTGGACTTGGCTATAGTCTTGAGATTGTTGTTGTTCCCAGGATCCACTATGGAATCTCCAAACACAAAAATTGCTGGAATGGTTTCATTGTTAGGCAGGACCAGGGCAGCTTCAATATTCTCATGACAGTATAAAACCACAAAAAGTGAGATGATAATGGTTCTGTAAGAAGAAGGAAAAGAAAAAGGTGGCCGAGACATCTCAGAGGGAAAGGTCATCTTTTTCTTATAGCTTGTTTTCCTTATGATGCATAGTCCCTCTTCTAAATTTATAAGGGAAAAAAGAGTAACGGTGTTACCACGTCGAGCTGCAGTAATTAATTTTGTCAATGTGGCAGGTACTTCTGAGCTTGCTTTATCCTTTATGACAAAATATCAGCTGGCAAGCTTAAATGCGGAGCAAATTATTATTATTTTTTTAATAAGTAAATAAGAGCAAATTCAAAAATAGGTGACGTGGAGGAGTCCGTCTTTAAAATCATTTCTGTACAGATGCAAACAACTGTTATTTCTCAGAAAAAAAAAGTGCCATTTTCCTCAATAATTCATGCAGTAGAAAGCTGTCGTCACGCCCAGGATTTAAGTCAAATCACTGCCCTACTTTGTTGCAATGCTGTGAAGAACACGAGTCACACCACAGGCAGGTATTAGTCAATGTCCCAATATTAATACTAGTTTGGAAACATCAACCAATTCAACGCCCAAGTAATCTGAAAATAGGATGTTCAGATTTGGATATGTAGCAGGCGCTCACAAGTTGATCTTTTTAACCTCAAAATGCCAAAAAAAAAAAAGAAATCTCAGCTTTATGATCGATACTTTTAATTTTGCTAATTTCAACTCAACTTTGACCATCAATTATTATGTCACGTGTCACTATTTTTCCTTTCTTCTTTGGTTTCTTTAATCATTATAACTGTGTGAAAAAAGAAATAGAATTGATGAAAGAATATTATCTTAAAGCGAAGAATAGTTGGTGATAAAATAAAAAATAGAGTTGATGGGGAAAAAAAAAAAAAGGTTTGTTGCTATTTTTGCTAGATCCGACTAATTGGAGGCTATTTTCAGTCAATCCAACCTTTGGATTGGTTTTTTTTTTTTTTTTTAACCCATTTTTGATGAAAAATATGTAGGTTCTTACTTTAGGTTCTCTATTTTGTATTTGTAAAAACAATGACGATGTTGGAGATTAACATATTTTTTTGTTTGATTTTGTTTTTTTATTAATAGTAATATTTTTGAAAATATCGATGAAATGGCAGATTTACTTAGCCGTTTTTTTTTTTTTTTTGTTCTTGCATAAACATAACTCACTGATCGAAACATTACAAATATAACAAATCCAAAAGTTCAGACGGCATGCATAAAACCCAATTAATAGGGCATTTCCTCTATCGAGTCATCCTAGCAACCCAGTCAGCAGCACGATTAGCTTCCCTGTGGACATGGTAAAGCATAGAAGACTACCAACCTGTTTTGAGCGTCTTTATCTCCTCTTCAATCGTCATAGTTTCCCAACTTTCTTGCTTCAAACCAGAGTTCAAATGTTGGATAAGCTCTTCGTTGTTAGACTCAAGAATGACGTTTCTCCATCCCCATTTATCAACAAGAACTCTACCCAGCCTTAAAGCTAAGGCTTCAGCCACCAGTGCAAATCCTGCATGAACCAGTGTGTTGGTTCCATCGACAACACAGCCATTATCATCTCTAGCAATCACGGAAATACTTGCCTTTTTGAGATGGGGGTCAAAAAAGACATCGTAATTGACCTTAATCCACGAGAAGGGTGGCTTATGCCATTGAGAAGGACTAAGCATACGAACAGAACGAGCATGCTTCTCATTATACTCGTGAAAGTCCTAAACAGCAGCTTGCCAGGTATTAATCAGATTGCCCTAAAAACCTTGGAAGATGAAATCATTCCTCACTTTCCAGATATGCCAACATAAATATGCTAACAGCCCTGACGTACAAAAAGAGCCAAAATCGTAGAGGTGTGAACACTTAATTTTGTTCAAAATATTTTTAATAAGATTGATTCAAACTCATTTGCAAATATGATTAGAGCCAAGTATCTAATTATCAATGTAAATTAAATGTTAAAGTTTTTCTTGTTGAAACATTAAGAAACCAATTACAAGTTGATGCTATGATTCAAACAATTAATGCAAAATTTGGATACTGGATGTATTTGGTGTATAAGATTATTCTAAGATATAATAAGATGATATTAAAAATAAGATTAAATTAATTAATAATATTTTATATTATATTTGATGCATACAAAAATTAAGAAAATATTATATATTTATTGCACTACTAGAAAATAGAACATCTTCGATAAAATTTTATTAATAGAATTTTTTCATTAATAATTACCAACGGATTACCGACGGAATATTGACGGAACATAATTATAAAAAATTTCGACCATCACCAACAAAATACTGATGGATTATAGATGAAATTTATTGATGAATTTAATTCTATTAATAATCTATAAGTAAAAATATAACGCAAATTATTATGAAGATTATCGACGAAAAATTTCATCAATAAAAGAAATTTTTGAAAATTTTTTTTAAAGTGACCATTTTCCGATGAAATTTTCACTGGTAACTTATCAGAAAATGAAAAAAAATTTAAACTCCTATTCCTAGATTTGTGAAACCCCAAATTCCTCCTAAATTGAGAATTCTCCTTTCTTTTTTGACCCAATCCCAAATCCCCCAAATCCTTAACCCTCTTTTTCTCTCTCTAGACCCCAAATCTCTAACCATCATCGAGTCGATCTCTCCCTTTCGTTGATGATGTACCGTTGCTCTCGTTATCACGTTTCTCTACTTTCGTCATCACGTCGTCGTTGGCTTTTCTAGGTACCTCTTCTCTACCATATTTTTATTCATTCATGCTTTTTTGCATTTTCGTTTAAATGTAGGTGAAACAATTTGGTAAAAATGTGAATAATATGTGCCAACAGCTGTTTGATGATGGTAGGTCATTTGATTCTTAATTGTTTTCATTTTGGTTGAAACAATGAATTTTTAATTTTTGATAATTTTAAATGTAAAAAAAATGTGAACAATTTTGTAGACTTGTATTCTTTGATAATAGAACACAAAAAACTCACCCAAAATCCTACAACCTAGTAAGCAAGTCGAAACAAACATTTGTTACATGCCATCGACAAATTTAAGACCATGCCATGCATCTGTTGCTTATCCGTCTCTCAATTTTTCCTTTTTTCGACAATATATATGAAGGCCTTTTCTCAATCTTATGGGTAACCTCATCAACCATAATTTTTACTTTCCTAGTTGGTCTATTTTCAGGTTGTAGACATTTTCTTCATGAGTCTGTGGACTTGTCTGCATAGTTTAATAGTGCCATTTTTAAATCCTGAAGCATAGGATTTCCTTAGTCCAAAGTGAGAAACTTACATAGTGGACTGGACCATGGTGACCATCATTGCAACCTTTAATATGGAAATCAAACATGTTCCAATACAACTAATTTTGCATTGTATAGACTGAAAATTTTGTGATAATCAAGGTGGTAAAATAAAATTTTGTGATGAATGCAAAGACTTGACTTATAGTGGAGATACATCATCTAGGAGTATATAGTAGTTTCCTACTCATTATACAGGTTTCTTTAGTGGCAATTAGAAAGTGTAAATATAGTGGATTTCTGATGCAGTGTTGTTGATTTGCTAATATGATCAAATCATTTTTGTCTTCAATCTTGCTACTAGGAGGCTAACCAGTAATCAAAACTGGTCACCTACACATTTATTATTAACTATAAATTTCAACTACAACATTGTTCAGAGCACTATCCAAGGAATGGCAAGTTTTATAGCATTGATTGACATTACTGCTTCTTGTCTCCCACTTATTCTTTCTCTTTAATTACCATGGCCTTTTGCTTTCATATTCTTTTTTTTTTTTTTGGGCATATGTTGTTGTTGAAGATGATTGGAGATGCCACCAAAGTGTTTAGTTATTGCCTTCTCCTTTGCTAACATATTCCTCAATCTATCATCATCAATATTGGTGCAAATTATTTTGGAGGAAAGATAGATCAAATATTCACTCAGTTTCCTAATATATCTAGTTTTGTCTTCTCTTTTTTTTTTTTTTGTTTTAAATGATAGTTTTGGCTAAGAATAAATATTTTAATGATTGTAGAATTTATGAAAAGGGAGGACTTAGGCTATGTAATAATTCTACTAAAACTCCCATTTTCATTTTCAAGGCTAAAAGGAAAAAGCCCAAATGGCACTCTTTTTGTCATTGGGTTGTGCCTCATTAATTTCCTCCTTAAACTACGATCTTAACCATCTTCTTCCTCTTTATCTGTGAACTTATAATATTATTATCATTATCATTATTATTTAATTATTTAGGTTGTGAATAAATATGTGAAACAATAATATTATATATCTTGACTTCACATCCTAGAATTTGAGTTTATTTTATTTGATAGATTTGGATTTTAGATTGAATGATTAGTGGTAAAATATGGTTGCTGACATGTGTTATCGTTAGGTGTAACATCACACTTATCCCTTTAAGTTCCATTTGAATGGTTGGCGAATATATAGGAAAATTTTTTTAAAAGATTTAATGTCAAAATGATGTGATAATATGATAAAAATCTTTTAGATTAATGCCTTTTCAATCAACTATTTTTTCCCATTATGTTATAAGAATTCTTTTAGTTATTATTTTGTCCTTCAATGGTTTTTCTTGATTGATGGTTTTGGATCATACACCTCAAATGTATGTGTATCTAGATGAGAATTTGCTAAATGGTAGCCTTTGATTGCTTTTAGTAGCTTGATTGGGGTGGTAATGTTTAATTGTTCATGGTATAGAGATTAGTAAATAGAATATATTTTTTCTAATCCAGTCCTCTATCAGTTTGCATGCAATTTGCATATGATTTATATGTGAAATTTTCATGTTCAATCTTACTTTTTATTGAGCGCTTAATTTTTTTATGTATCTCACTTTCTTTTCTTGTCTTCTTTGCTTAGGCATTTACATGTCATCATTTATTATGGGTAGAGGTGATAAAAATGAAATCCATGTTTCTTATCAAATGAAAGAGGTATATCAAGTTGTGTCTCAATTGTATTTTATTTTTATTTTTTTTATTATTTTGAATATTCAAGCCAAAAATTCTTTATGACGTGTATAGAATAATCCCTGATAGATTGTATTCTGTTGTAGTCATGTAAAAATTTCATTCCACTTTCAACATTTTTGTGTAAATTGCAAATAGAATAGGGCTTTTGTTCCTTATATTTTTGTAATTAGAGTTTAGAAATAATTTTATAAAGTATTATTATCTTTGTTTATAAATGAAATATAATATTTTATTTATTTATTTATGTATATTTTAGTATTCATATAATTATTTTAAAAATAAATAAAATTATAATAAAATTATAAAAATTATAAAATAATAGTTAAATATGACTTAAAAATAATATTACCAACAGAATACTGATGGATTTGAGTTAATATCGATGGAATAGTATTACCAACTTATCTATCATCATCGAAAATTTTTGTTGGTAAATTCTGTTGGTAATGCTATTATTGATGAAATATTACCTTATACCGATGAAATTTTTTGTTGATAAAAGTTACTTTTCTGGTAGTGTTGGTTAAAATTGTTTTTGCTCAAAATTTTTATAATTTAAATTATTAATATGATTTTTAAAGGTATAATAGCACATATAAGTTCAATCCCAGGAACTAAAAATAATCTTATCTAGTTTAGAAGGATTAAATCATCTTATATTAAGAGGATGATTAATTTTACTTGCAATTACAAGGATAATTAATCATCTCTTGGTATATGTTGATTCAATCTTCTCAAAAGGAAGATGATTATTTTTAATCAATGTAATTGAACTTATATATCCTATTATACCCTTTAAAATTATATAAATTTTGAGGAAATATAATTTTGATCAATAAATAAATTATCTTATATTAATTCTTGTACACATCAAGCACAAGATATGATGAAATTATTTAATCTAATCTTATTCATAATATCATCTTATCCTATCCTATCATAATTTTATGTGTCAAACATATCCTTCGAGCCTTAAATTGTTTATTTAAGTGAATTTAATCTTTGTTTGGTTGAAGGATCTTCAAAACTTGTCTATAAAATCTTTTAGGGGCTTTTGGTTCACAGAATTTTGGATTTCAGGAGAAAGTGTGATCATCGAAAAAATACGATACTCGGAGTTTTCTTCTATTTTTAGGGTATTTCATATTCAAATCCACTCATTTGGTTGAGAAAAATTCACATATATTAATTCTTGAATAATTGTCATAATCTTCTTGACACATATGATGGTATTTTTTTATTAGCTTTTAGTAATAATAAATACCCAAACGAGTAATTTAAGACATTTTTTATAAAAAAAAAACCTTAAATAATTTAAAAGAATTTTTAAAGGGGATTATTTAAGGCCTCTTTAGTAAAAAATATCTTAAATAATATTTTTTGTTACTTATAAGATTTAAGAGATAAAATATAAAAAAACTAGAGTAACTTAGTTGGTTAAAGCATATGGTTATTAACTATAAAATTGTAGGTTTGACCATTCTTTCTAAGGTTTTAATGTTTTTGAAGGGTATTATTTAAATAATCCATTTTATTACTTATAAGATTTAAGATATAAAATATAAAAAAATTAGAGTAGCTCAGTTAGTTGGCATATGACTATTAATCATAAGGTCGTTGGTTCAATCATTCTTTCTAGCATTTGTTTTTAGGGATTACTTATAAGAATTTTTTTTGGGATTATTTAAGACATTTTTGGCTAGAAAACACCTTAAATAATACTGAATAATTTTTTAAAAGATTATTTAAGGTATTTTTTTGCTAGAA